GGGGCTCACTCTCTCCATGCTCTCCTTTCGCATGGAAAGCCCTTGGGGCTGTGGCCGCTTTTTGGTGTGAAAACACGGGGTGGGGCGTCGCGACGCCGGAGGGAGGGCCGACAGACGCCGAAGAATCCACCAGATGCTGCTGATTAAACGATGGACCTTGTAAAGACCCTATTCTTTCTCACCGTTCTGTTTGCTCTCCAAAGTCTCGAGTTTTGGGAATATGCATGTGGTCTGGTCAACAAGACTCTGCAGCTACAGGTGTGGACAACTCAGGGCAAGTGTGTCCTGATTCAACTACTGGTTAAATGACAGAAGGCATTTTTAGGATAATTTAGCATGTCAGCAGCGCACATATTTGCAGCAAAGATTGAAGAAACAAGAAACACCTGCAGCAAAGATTGAATAGAAGACATTGATTTGGTGAGTTCTTCTGCCATGCGGCAGCCAGCTTCTCAGGCAGACAGCTACCCAGTGGTGCTCATGCAGCACAGCCAGAGGAAGAGGGGGGAGAGGACCCGCGACACATAGAACTGATTGCAGAGTGTCTGGAGTTTGGCAGCTTGGTCGTCAAGTTGTTTTTGGTGACGTCCGAAGAGGCAAATGACATCATATGATATATTATATACAGTAGTGCATTTTCAAACCTGAATTGACTCTGAAAGAGTAAATTATTTCGATGTGAGCTACAAAGAGATGGCAGCTTTTGTTGCTTGTTGCGGATGGGAAGGAGATCGTGCACAGCAGCAGTGGGACTTTTGTCTTGGCACCTGCCACCAAGAACGACTTGTGCCTTGCCATTCAAAAATGCAACTCCGTGCAGACGACGTGACTTGTGGGGAATGTGTGCTACCATAGACCAAGCCACTATAAACTCTATCATCAACCCAAGCGACCAAATAATTCTTAGCAGAGGTACGGGTCGAGTGTAGCTGCATGGAAGGTCACTGCAATTAGGCCACTGGGGGTATGTTCACCCTTTACAGACCCATTCAGGTCATATGAACTTATTCACGGACCGAAACGAACGAAGCGTGAACGGCAAACGGCATCGCTGTGTCCAGGCTCGAGACGCTCTTCACGCGATTCTTGGACAAGAGTGTTTGGGTCCGATATCGTGTCTTACAGACCTTGAACAACTTGGCCTCCAACAACGGCTTGCCCAGGCCTGGCCGAACTGGCCCGTGGGAAAAAGAGAACTCAGACGGCTGTTTCAAGGTTTGCTCTAGGTTTGTGTGAAAAAAAAACCGTTTGGAAGTCTCTGGACGGACTGGTGAAAGGGGACTGACAGCCTGACAGGCGACCGCAGGATGAAAACATCTCCACTACCCAGACTTAAAAGTACGATAGGGGTGCCCATTATCCACTCACTTAGGGACTAAACACCACCCCTTTGTGACTCCTGGTAAAAAGATCGTAGCGAGTCGTAGCACGTTAGCTCGAGGGATTGGAGCCGTGTTCGATACCATGAGCCAACCAAAGGCTCGAGGGATGCCGTTCCTGTAGGCTGACGGCATGGAGCCCTGTAGGAGTTGGAGGGGGAGTCAGGAAGTCCGGGCCCCCGAATTCTCCCACCTGCAGGGAGCTCTGGCCCAGAGTCTTGGACTTGGCGATTCGGAGGATGCAGGACACGGCCAGCATGTCCAGGACAGACGTCATGAACCCATGTCCAGGCAGACGTCATGGTATCGCTTCGATTCCAGGCGCATCATGGTATCCTTTCACCTGCGATGAGAAGCACTAGTTGGACATTTTCACCGACTCTCAGGCAGTTTTTGGACCATTTTTGGGGTTCTGCAGGTTCCCAAGGTTTCCTCACTGCTCAAAGCCAGGGGCAGTCGACTCCAAGTCAGGGGCCTCACGTGGCCGCTGCCTCCCGTCAGTCTGAACCCTCGCGGGAGCCTGGCTCACCCGCCGAACTTCGTGCACGCATTACGTGGCGTCCCTCTCAGTCGCTGGCGTCCCGCTCCAGGAAGGCGGCGATGCAGCTGGTGAGGAAGCTCGTGGAGTTCCACCCCTATGGTCCCGCGCTGAAGGGCTCGGGAGACGAGCGGGCCAAGGCGGAGAAGCTCTTGAACGAGATCCAGGACGGTGGGTGGAGAGTGGGCATGAAAGAGTGTGTTCTGTTGCAGCCAGGGATTGTTGAATGGAGAGGCTTCTGAGATGTTTTTACTCTGCACTCACTTGGGGGGGGTCAACACGCAACCTCTTTGTAATGTGTGGGAAAAACCAATGTTTGTCCTTTTTTGCTACCACACGGAGCAACACACTTTCGCAACTTCTGGAGCTTGTGGTGAAACCCTCTGGTTTGAGAATCTCAAAGATCGTACTGCTCAAAGGGGTATTGAAGCAACGGCAAGATTGGTTGTCAGGAGCGGCTGAAGAAGCTCAAGGCCACTGTGGACAAATGGGATCTACAAATTCTAAGATGGTTATATAAGTCAAAGTGAAAAAAAAGAAGAACACGCGCGTGGAAAGATGAGGGGGTCTTCACGTCTCTCGAGACTCATGGCCAACCAGTTGCGGACAACCATGGCCTGTCTCATTTGCGGATTCTTTTCAGTTTCGAGGTTCAGAAGTCTTGGGCTTCCCCTCTTTGATCTTTGCGGAAATGTTCACCTGCAGGGTTGGCAAATAGGTACTATAGCTTCTATAGAAAGTGGCCCAGTTTCCTGTCCTACTCCCTCTGGACGAAGTGATGCCAAACAAAAAGCTTCAGATGTCACTGTGCTGCCGGACCGCAACTGTTGGGCCCAATATCCCACCTCTCACTTCAGGTTTGGGTAAGGCCGCCCTCCGTAGAGCTGCTGAGCTCCTTAGACCTGCTTAGATCTGCTTAGATCTGCTGAGCTCGTCCACCCAAAGCCTTCTCGCTCTGTCTGAGGCCGAGGAGCTGGCCGAGCTCGAAGGCGCCGAGCTCGAAGGCGCCGAGCTCGAGGCCGCCGAGCCGGCGGAGAAGCGGCGGCGCTGCAAGGGCAAGACGGAGCGGGAAGAGGGCGCTGCGGTGGGACAAACCGATGGGAGGTGAGGTTGGAGGCGCTGGTGAGAACTGAAGGTGCTGGAGGCACACCAGTGAAAGACGACCTCTGGACCTCTGCAAGCGACCTCTGCATCTCAGACGTATGTGGGAACGTGGGGGGGGTCGCTCAGGGTTTGATGGATCCAGACAGGCTTTTGAGAGATTGGCGCTAGATTATCCAAACTAGCTTAGAGTTTGTCTGGACTCTTCAGCTGATGTTTGGAATCTTCACTCGTGTTCACCAGTGTTCTCATCCTCGTCTGCCTTTCAGATTGATGGGCTTGGAAGAACTAATCCCGACCAGGAGACCGACGTGAGCATCGCGAGGGAGGTGGACAAGGACCTGAACGCGCAGGGCGAAGACGAGGAGCCCACCGAGGACAATGCCACCGGTCGGCACGTGGCGCGTGAGAAGCAACGCGAGGCGTGGCGCGTGTTGCGTGCGAAGCGGAGCGAAGCCGAGAACTGATCTGTCAGGGTCATGGGGAGTGGCCACGGTCTGCGATGTTTAGGGGGGCCTAGGGCCGTGGCTGCAGACTGTGCTGCATGTGTGCACAGTGTCAGAAACACATTTTGATTCTGATCTCACTAATGTTTTCTAAACCTGTGATTCTGATGTGATTTGTTTGTTTTTCAGCCACCTCTTTCACCGTCCAGGCCTTGCAACGGATGGAGCAGTGCTACGCACAGCGCGTGCACTTCGTAGAGCTTTTGGATGCTGCTGAGGCATGGTGAAACTCGCCGAGTTGCTACATAGGTCCAAACCAGACACCAATGTGAAACTGACGACTCTTTGGGGTGGTTTCAGGGGTAACAACCAGGGTTTGGATAAAGCTGAGCATTCTAGCACATGTGCAACAGGCACCACAACAGGACCTCTTAATGCTTGTTTGTTGCGTTGTGACATTTCATCACTCCAGGAAAGCCCTGGAGAAAATTCCAGTTCCCTAGTCACTAGCCAAACAAGCGAAACGAAGGGTCAAAATCATATATCACAACTCTCAAACGCTCATCCATCAACATGAGAGAAAAAACAACAAAAACGAACAAAAAGAAAGCCAAAAAACGCGGAAAAAAGGCGATCCAACTTCCCCATGTTCTCCATCCATCCGTTCGCCAGGCCACCACCACCACCATCCTCCGTTCACCTCGCCCTCGCCAGGCCCGGCTGCGCGCGCTGCTGGGCTCCAAGACCGCCACCGACGTGACCGAGGCCATCGGCGTCGTGGTGGAGCTGCGCCTCCGAGGCGCCCGAGGAAGACGACGAGAGACGACGGTGGTGCTTGGAGGGATTCGTCCTCACGTTTCGCGGGACGACGAGAAGGTGTGAGGTTGGCAGGGGGAGGACGAGAAACAGTCTTCCTTTTTGGGGGTTGGTTTGCAAGGAAGGAGGAAACTACTAGACAACCTTTGAGAAGCTGTGTCGATTTTTTGTTCTCCTTGGTTTCCCCACTGATCACACATGTAGACTGTGGACTGGGTTTTAGGAAACAAGAAGGTACTTGACTTGACTATTGGAAGACCATGTTGTTGTTTCACCTCACTGGATTTGTGGGATTCACACTGTTGTGCTTAGGTGTTGGCTCTTTCCGCCATCCTTGTTTCGTGGCGTGTCATGGAAAACAAGCCGTCACAGCGTGGAACATGGCCAAGGCCACAGGCTGTGTAGATTCATGGCTTCCAACGCCAGGGGTCGGAAGGAAGGACCAAGGGTGACGAGTCTGTTTTCGATCCGCGCTTCGTCTCCCAGCTTGACCAACCAGATGGATGCCCCAAAAAACCTCTTGAGGCCGTACAGACCCCTGACCGCTTTCAGCCGCTGGCTTTCCGCCGCTTTCTCCGGTCCGAGTCTTTCTCCTCAGGCGTCCCTGCAGCGGCCAAAGCCTTTCACCAAGTCTTGGGACTCGTGTGGAGTCGCCATGCCCCCATCAAGGCGACGGGTCCAGGTCGTCGCTGCCGCTCCTGATCGATCGTGCGCTCCCGTCGATCTCGGACGGGGGTGTAGGGTGCCCGGGGGATGGAGCACACAACAAAGGACCCATGACCACCTGGTGGATCCCGAGTTTTCAGTGGGTTTGGACGGACTGGTCGCCGGATTTGGCAGTGTTGGGGATGTACGAGTGCCTTTTTCGAGGAAAGCGCGACCGAGTCTCTCGAGCTGCCTTCAGGACGCTGCCGTGGATGCGTTCTATCGGATGCACTTGGAAGGGCGGGATGTGGCGTCGGCTGCGCAGGCGATGCTGGATATTTACAAGGACTGCACTGGCATGAGAGTTTCAGTTGCCGGGGCGTGATGTTGATAGCTATTGGAAGCTTGCCTCAAGTCAGCCAAGTTGTTGTTTCACACCCATCCTCCCAATCTTCCTCCTTCCTTGGATGAAAGACATGATTTGTTGACGTGGGTTCAGGGTGATGCGCTCCCTGGTTCAGAATATCTCATGGCATGGCCCCGAGTCGACTCCGAGTGGAGCACACAGATCCACACCGGTTGCGTGGTCCATCCCCCCCGCCTGGTGCCGCTCGGTCGATCCGTTCCCTCCGCGCCTCCGGCCTCGGCGCTGCGCGCTCAGCTCGGTCAGGATGGGTTCAGCTCCGGCACACTCACCCACACGCATTTGGCCAGCGTTCAGGCCGGGCTTCAGCGGTCTGACGTCGCGCCGTTGCGCTGGAAAGTGGCTTCAGGGAGTACTCTTCATGTGAGGAACTCTTCAAGCAGTTGTGAAGCAGTTGTACCAAGCATCTGATGTGTTGGAAGCTACTGGGAGTCGGAAATCCACGATGCAACTCCATTTTGGACAAGTGAGGGGCCGTCGACACGGCAGGAGCTGATCCAACAGGCCGCAGAGAAGGAGCTGATCGTCGCATCGCAGGCGTGTGGCGCTTTTTTGGAAGACTAGGGGTTGGATGAAACTTATCAAGATGAACCAATGAACCATGTGAAAACCATCCACATTTTTGAACAGATTTCTGCACTCAAGAAAGATCAAGAAAACATCTTACAAGTCTTACAAATAGCGATATAGACCTCCACTTTTGTTTGATGTACATGGATTCTTCACACTTCGGCTGCCACTGATGAGTCCAGCTTCCTAGCTTTGTCATCACCAGTTTTCCAGTTGGCATTGACCATCAAGGCGCCTTTGTCTAACTAGCTCTGGACTGGCCGGTTTTTCACGTTTTTCTTATTCGTTTTGTCTCCTCCATTTGCCTGGTGAAGCTGGTCCAATCCCCCTCGAGGTGATCCCCACGATGCTGAGCGCGCTGAGCGAGCCGGGTAGCGCGCCCTGCGCACTACGCGCACTGACTGCACTGAGCGCCTCGGGGCACGAGGCTCTGAGCAAGGCCATGCCGAAGCTGCAGGAGTTTGTGGTGCAGAGGCCGGACATTGGCTGCAAAAATGGAGCAAGCGGCACTTTCTTTGATAGGCAGTTTCAAAGGGGGTCAAGACTTCACAGTTCACCCACAAATCGGATGGTTTCGAAAAAAGAACGATGGCTGGATGACCATGTCGATTTTCTATCATCCCTGCTAGTCCTCCGCCTGCTCATATTCCCTCCTCTGTCTGTTTCCGAGTGGTTCGGTGGGCCTTCAAGTCTTTTTTTCCACCAAGGATGGCGACCCTACTGTAGATCTTTTGCTTTTAGCTGTCATTCCCCTCCTACCTCAAGTGAACTCATCCAATCTCCAAAACATCTCCAAACATCTCCAATGTAGACGGTTGGTTCATATATGACCACACCATTTATCCTAAGACCATGTAAAACCTCCCATATGACAGTAGGCTTTTTTAAATTTTGCTTATCACCAGTCTACATGACTCCTGTCTCCAGATCTGGAAGTCCCGCAGAGCGGCTGGAGAGCTGCCGCCTCGTCTGCCAGCTACTGCTGCGGTTCTTGGGCAGTGCGAAGACCGCTGTGGCGGACAGCACCGTGGCGCGGCTCTGCGCTGTGCCGCTCTGAGAAATGTCAGGATGGTTTTTTTGGTGGATTTGGCAGATGTAAGGTAAGGTAGACTTGTAGACTCTTGAGAAAAATCAAATCACCATCCCTTTGAGCAAATGGGCAAATGGATTGACTACATAAATGTTGATCATTCCCTTTCTCCTTCTGACCCGATAGAAGGGGTGGAGGATCAATCCTTCTCTGAACCGAGCCGCACTAGATGAACGGATCGGTTCAAGCTTTGGACTCCTGGATGTACTATTCAAACATGAATGAAACAGACGATTATAGGGGATGTTCACGACTGCCCATTCTAAAGGTTCAGTCCGCGCATTTCTGATCAGTGGACATCTCGCAGTGGCAGTTTCCTTGCAATTTTGGGATCGAGGGACGCATTCCCAAAGCTCCACGAGGGTCGTTGTGGGACTGGACATGAACAAGGCCTCCTACAGTAGTACTCCTACCTTGTTGCTTCTTGGAGGATGTCGGTTGATGGGTTGATCTGCGGATAGATGGCCTTTTACTATTTGTTGGTTGATGAATAGAGGAGAGACCCCCCCGGTCTTGTTCTACCACCAATAGGTCACTGGATCTGGATCTGTGACCCCTCGTCTCCTCACTGGATCTGCTTCGTCCTGAGGTCTCAAGAGTGCTCTTGCGTGGTGGTGCAGCACTTTGTGAAGGGGGACATCTCTCCACAGTGGTTCCCTGCTGCCATGTGTGCGATGGACCCGCGTCCGCGGGTGGACTGGAGCTTCCATGGTGTAGCAGGGTGTTGGTGGTGGACCGGCTGGGGTCCGTAGGGGTTGACCAAGGACCTAAGGACAGCCAGGCTGTAGCTGCAAGTAAAACATCCACAGGATTTCCTTTGTGTTTGCCATTTGCCAGCTTTGTTTTCTGTTTCTTGAAGGTAGCCTATGCTCTTAAGCCATAGCAGGGTGTGTGAGAGGTCAGCAGAAGCTTTCTTCATTTCTCGAAGCACTTCTGCTGACGAATCCCAGAGAACTTCAGAAGCATCGGCAGGTGTAGCAGCTGGAGCCGCTTGCCAGTTGGAGCCGCCCGCCCAAGTGGGTACGAATCTACAATAGTCACGTCTTTTGGCTGCTTCTCTTTCTTTAGAGAGTCATCCTTTGAATCTGACTGGTGCTTAGTAGGGAATGAGAGAATGACCCCTCACTCTAGATACCACAGGATCCATTCCCTCATTCTTTACTAAGCACCAGTCAGGAATTGGCCCCCCAACTCCAGCATGAGAGTCACTCCAGCACGCCGTGCATTTCCTGCTCGCCGTGCTCGCCGGCTCGCCGGTCCCCGGTCCTCGCCGGCTCTCCACTTCGAATGGATGCGACCTTCGGGTGTCGACCGGTCATGGGTCGAAGCCGAAGTGGGAGGACCTCTCCTTCGAGTTGGCCCAGCATGGTTCCAGGCCGGCGGATGCTGCGCATCGCTCCCCAGACAAGGCGCGTCCGAGCGGAGAGTTGGCGGGAAAGAGCGGTCCGGTCAGTTTGCGGAGGGCGCCTTTGGTCTGTTTTGTGGTCTGGTGCGAAGGAGCGGGTGAAGGGAAAGATCGGATGATTTGGGTTCAAATACAGGCTCACTTTGCTGAGTGGTCATTTCCATGCACATGCGTCACATGCGCTTGTCAGACAAGCCTTGGACAGGTCTGGGAAAACATCTTCAATCGCATGATCTGCGGCATTCTGGGAGGCGGTCTCCGAGCGAGCGGGTTTGGTTGACCACAGTGTGGCCAGAGGATCCACACGGTGGGTGCGGGGCGGGTCGACCCCTGAAGAACAAGGTGTATGTCATGTTATCCTGGATCCTCAATAAGACAGCAGCAGCACTGGTTAGGTCTGGTTTCGTCACCTTTCACAGCTTTCTTTTTACAGTACTGCCCATTGACTCCATGGCTGGTCAGAATAATTCTAATCAAGTCTAGGGTCCGTCTGCGAAGGCATTCCTGGAAGCTTTTCCCTCTCCAAAAGAACGAGCTTCAAATATTCCAAGCGGCAAGGGGCAGCTGAAAGACAAGGCACACAAGATCCAGATCCAGACTCCTGAAACCAACGACTCGACCATGGGTAGGGGGGCTCACTTCAGATGGTACCGGGTGTTTCGGTCCCACCCCCCCCCCGTTTCTAGGGTTTGTTTCGGGTGGTAATTTGGGTTTTCCCACAGATCTAAACCAATTGGTCGTTTGATTTTAAACGATTTTGACATTGTTTCAACTTTTTTCTTTTCCCTTCTTTTCTTCGACCTCTCTGGAATTTGAGACACGCCGCTTCCCCCGCGTTTTTGGGTGCCAGGCCAGTCGGAGGGCGCCGCTTGGAAGCAAGACGTCCAAGACGCGGAGAGAAACTCTTGGGACGTCCTTGATTTGGATAGCCGTTATACACGTTTTTCCTTACTCTTTTTTTTTTATCTTTTTTTTCCCCCGCGGGAAACAAGTCCAGGGTATGTGGGGTGGAGAAGGACCTCCAGTTTTGCGTGCGTGGGGATGGGGATCGCCTGGGATCCCGGGGTCCTTGGGCGGACTTCTGGCACACCGCGGCGTCTGGACGCTTCGGTCTGGTTTGAGCACTTCCGCGCACGGCGGACTTCCCTCGCGCCCAGAGCCGTCGAAGGCGGCCCCGAATCCTCTGGAGCGATTCGGTCCCTCATATTGTTGGAGGGGTCTGGGGTCTCTAAGGTTTTGAGGGACGTTCAGTGTGTTTGGAGCGTCTGGGTTGTCTCAAAGACAGGGCACCTCAGTTCGAACCCCTTGGGTTTGGGGAACATGGACTGGTCGTCGACCCAGACGTCGGGATCTCCCAGATTTCCAGCGTGACACACCGAACTGGGTCCCCAACTGGATGCCCAACTGGATGCCCTGGCACGGGCGCCTGCTGGAAGCTTTGGGCAACTGATGCGATGAGAGAACCCCCCTGCAATGCCCCGCCTGATGTGCCTGGCCGAGGATGGAGAGATTGAGGCCGGTTTGGGCACGACAGGTGTTTGGTTGGTTCTTTTCTTTTGCAGCGCCGGAATGAGCCACGGCTTTCATGACCCGACCGGGCAACTGAAAGAGCTCTTTCCTGAGGAGAATTGGTCAACCTTTCTAGAAGAATGTCGCTGTTCTTATCGTTTTTTAATTCCCGGTAAGGCTGTTTGTCATTCAGCCTGCAAATATGCCAAAGCAGCCTCTTTAGATCTCTAATCCAAGGCATTGGTCGGTCCGTTGCTTCAAAGACACTAAGCTGGAGGAGGAAAAAACATAAAGATCAGCTTTTGGACAAATAAAATCATAGAGAAGCTCACACTTTCTCAAAATATCACTTTTGCTGTTCTCCTTTTGACTTGGAACTAGGGAAGACCTTGGCCTGAAGAACAGTCCATAGCTTGGCCCGAGCCACTCTTGGAAACGCTGACACGTTCTGGTTTGGGCAGGGCCACGTGGTTTGTCAAGATGCAGATGCTGCGTATCTATGCCTTCCTTAGCCTGGCATCGTTGATTCCGGAGAGTGTAGCTGGCGCCCGCACGCGCGAGCTGCACGATTCGGCGGCCGGAGTGGAGAATGGCCAAAGGCGTGGGAATTCGAGTGGAATGACAGAAGGATGCCGAAGGGACAAGACTTGCGATGTCTATGATTGTCATACAGTGACGATTCCCAGTGTTTCGGAGATCACCGAGCTCAATGACAAGCTGCAGGAGATCCATGAGCATACGCTCGGCAGCCACCAGGTCCTCACTCATCGAGAAAGCCTGATCCTCAGGACCTCTTTGCGATTGGCGATGTTGGCCTACGGGCGAAATGATGGCAAGGGCTTGTCATATCATGAGTTGAGAACAGAAAAGGAGGTCTCTATGCTGGAGCTGCAGTTCAAAAGCTTTCGCCACAAAGAGCACAAGACGGATGACACCGCCCACCTGGTGGCTTATCTCTTCAAGGTGCAAGGGTCTGAAGGGCCTGGGGTTGGCATCGCTTTGAGCTACAAAGGCTCCACGAACCTGGCCGATTGGAAAGCCAATATGGCCACCTGGCCCAGATCCATGTTTCCCACGATCCCGGAGTTGAAGAATGTGAAGGTCCACCGTGGCTTCTTGGCACACAAGCGGCGCCTGGATGCCCGAATGTCTGATGCACCAATGGCTCCGCTGAAGACCACGCTGGCGAAGTGGGGAGTGGAGACCAGCGCGAAGAGCTTCAGGGAGTTCTTGCTCGCTGGCCAGTGGTCCTGGCTCCTGACTGTGGGTCATAGCTTGGGTGGTGCCATGGCAGCGATCAGCGGCCTGGAACTGGCAGTGCACACCTCCCGCGCTGGACAGCAGAAACAGGTGCACGTGGTGGGTGTGGGGACGGCCATCCCTGGGAACCAGAAGTTTTCGGATGCCATGGACGGCTTCATCACACCCAAGGGTGGTTTGCGCATCGCCAACGACGGGGACAACATCCCCTTCATGGGCTACGGACTGGTTTGGCTGTGGCGTTCCACGCGTGTGGTGCATGGCTATGAGTGGATCTTGCCACACTTGGCTCGAAAGCGGCTCAAGAAATTGAAGATGCATATCCAGTACGATATCTTCGATTGGGCCACAAAACCAGCACGCTTTGTTTTCCCAAAGGTGGGACAGAGTTACACGTCCAAAGCTCAGCAGTTGGGTTCCTACACCGACAAAGCACTGGGCGCCTTTGCCTGAAAGGGTTCCTCGCAGCCAACCAAAGAGGCAGCCCTAGCGAGATGCGGAAGTTGTGGGTTCAGGTGTGGTTGCGCAACCCAAGGTCCTTACAGCTTCCACCAGCAGAAGGATGAGACTTTTCCCTGAAGGCGAAGGCAACGGCCCCGCCAGCAAAGAAATGCACGCGATGTCTTCGTCATAGAGTAAAAATGGTTCAGCAGCTGGCCATGCTCCGCTTGAGTTTGGCATTTTGCAGGGGTTGTTTGCAAGAAAAAGAGGTGCCATCAACTGATCCTGATAAACCTCAAGAACCTGCCCAACTCACACAGATTCCAGTAGCTCGCCATGCTAAGATCCAAGAGGGATACCCCATCAACTCTTTTCGCCCACACGGACTGCAGGTGAAGCCGGTGGCCGTGCCGCAACTGGGCGCCGTGGCCTTCGTGGCGGGACATTTGGCCCTCAGGCCGGGGCACCGGTGCGGCGCCGCTCCGTCGGAGCGGCACCGCGGCAGTGGGTCGACGGTTTTCGTCGATCGACCGTGGGTCGGACGTGGGTCGAAGTCTCGAACTCTCCGCGGGTCGCACGAGGGAACCAGCGAAGCGGGGTGGTTCCAAGGTAGTGCTGACCCGTTGCCAAATATTGATGGAAGAACCGTCGATGCATCAATCAGTATACATAATCTTGGGGGTATATATAACTTGTTGAAGGTAGATGACTGGCGATCATCATGTTTGGCATCCGAATGGCATCTTTCACCGTGCCCCCTTGTCTCGGCTTGCCCTCTGCTCGCTTGCCTTGTCTCGGCTGCGCGAGGATGCTCATTTTCCTCGAGGGCTTGCAATCGGCCTTGAAGAGGCGCCAACCGCCACCAACCACCCGAGACCGGCCGGGAGCTCCGTCTCTCGGAACGTGGGTTGGGTAGGTTGACCACCTCTATTTTGGAGCAAGCACCCCCCAAAAATGGTCCAACTTCCTGAGGCCATGTCTGGGCTCTAGGTAGGTGTAGTGTCCGGTGTAGTGTCCAAACTCTGTGGGTTCAGTGTCTACGGAGGCTTCATATTATTGTGGTCTTTGTTGTGACCAAAGCACCAAGCCACAAACATTTGCACGTTTGGGATAGCACCGGAGCTGCTGAAGTGTCTACGAAGAAGAAACAGTATGGCTTTGCTGAGCTAGCTCGTACTATGGACCATCCACAGAAAGTCTTAGGATTGTATGTCCGGGGGGCTGTCCTGAAATGGGATGTTGTGCAATCAAGAAACACTGGGCTTCTCCATATTTCCGCTTTTCAACACAAAAAGTATCAAACTGTATATAGAAAATTGTAGAAACCACATGAAATCGCCAACCCTTTTTGGAGGATTTTTACTTGACAAACTACTTTTGGTGTTGAGAAGGGAAGGGGGTCCAAGGGAGTCCATTTTGCCCTGCTGCCCTGTGGTGTGCAAGCTGAACAAAGCGTTGCCAGGAAGAGAATGGCTCAAGAGGAGGCGAAAATGGCCGAGCAACGTGAAAAGACCAAGGAGAAGAAGGTGGCTTCTGTTGCCAGCAGAAGAAAGACCCAATAGTCATGGTCACACTCCTCCTTGGCTTCTTTTCCTGACACACCATACCTTACACCAGAACCAGAGAAGAGCTGTTCGTTCGCCTCCGTGGTGGAACGCACCGCCTTGCTTCATTCATCTAAACAGGCTTCACGCACCTAAGAGGTGACGTCTAACGAGCGTTGGCAGAACGACGTTCACGGCGGCGAAAAGCGGTCCCGTCACAGCGGTCCAAGCGGAATCTCTGAAATCCTTCCGTCTTTCGAACGAACCGAGAGTCTGAGAGAGGGAGGTGAGAGGGAGGTGAAAGCCCGTCCGGCCTTCGGTGGCACGGCCTTCGGTTGAAGAACGAATGGACGTTTGGAGAACATGTGGCGAACTTGGCACCGCTCCTGTGCATTGGACATGAGCGTACAAAAAGACGGAGAGAAGTGACGGTTTAGGCTAAAGTTGCTGATGTTGCACTGATGTTGTGAGGGAAGTTGCCTACACCACACCATCAGTCAAGAGAATTTGCTCCAGCATTCCACTCCTGGCGAAGGCTTCCAAGAAGGGCAAGAAAGGTCAAGAAGAAGATGAGGACAGCACTTTTGTTGATTCCCAATCACACAGTTTGACAGCAGGACTGATGCAAGACTTGAATCAAAGCCAAGGTGCAAACAAACAAAACACATAAAGCTACAGTTCGGTCTTCATGTACCAGCTCCGGACTCCCTAACATGAAAGAGGACAATGTTCCCTTTTTCAAGCTCACTTTTTTGTGGAACCATGTTTTCTTTTCCACTTCCATATGAGTGAGTCGGAGTGGCTTTCTTATGGATTTTGTTTATCTCTTTTCTTTTCCTGGACGGAGCAACGGTCGGCTCCCAGGAGAAGGCCGAGACGTCCATGGGCGGAGTGGGCTTGGAGGAGCGCGAAGCCGAGGCCCGGTGAGCTGGAGCTGGGGGAGTCGTTTCCCGCCACCAACAAGCCGTAGGCCTCCAGAGACTGAGATACTTGATGATACTTGTACATGTCCGTTGTATTCACTGTTTGTTGAATTCAACCACCTACAGTAGACATGTATTTGTGGATTGCAGTGAACATGCACAAGGGCACTGATTGGGCTGAAAGTTGGAAGGAACACGAAGGCCCCTGCCAAGTTGACACTGAAGACTTCCACTTGGTATAGGAAGGCTGAAGCCCTTCAAAGACAGCATTGACGAGGATAATTCGGAATATCAGTCACACAGGGTTTCTAGCCTTCATTTGCCTGTGATGAAACAAACGATATGATCTGGATCATCCTTTCATAAGTCTCGTGTTCCTAGGAGACTTGATTCACAGGCTTTCTTTTCGTTGTTTCTTTCTTATTGCGTTGGCAGTCGAGGCTTTTGCACAGCTGGCTGAGAGCGGACTTCTCTACAGCAATCGCTTACTGGATCGGGTCGGCCCAAGCACGAGGGGATCGGAAGGGTTCCGAATGTTTTCTGTAATGGGTGGGAGCACATGCGTCGATGCGTGTGTCTGAATGTTGGGAGACTTCCCACGGCTTTCAACTCTCTTCTCCTTTTGCAGCATTTCCAAATTATTGTTGACTTACAGTTTTAGAGTAGTTTACAGATGTTTACAGTAAGTCATTCAAGCTAAAGACGAATCAGCGCTCGACGAGATAGCAAGTCGAAGTGTTGCCGAAATTGCTATGACTGGATAGCACATGTCACATCCACTTTGCATCAACATTGTCATGACCCAAAAAAGAATTGCTATCACACGTGATTTTGCAACATCCCTTTTTTGCAGCTTACACATTGGGACGGCTGTTTGGACTGGTTGAAACGGAGGAACCACGCCAGTTTGGACGAGTGCGGCGAGTGCGGAGGTGAAACCTCTTCTGTTTGCCTGCCTCTTGGACAAGGAGAACAGGGACACCGAGACGGTGATCCGTTTGGAGTGGGGCGATCAGCTGTCCGTTTGTTTTAGCTCGGTCTCTCATGTAGCGATGCCTCGGTGTCTGTAGCGGCAACGCCCAGTCGCATGCTGGGCACATGCGCACGCGTGCACGCACGAAGTCGCGGCGCAGCTTGCGACCTGCGAGGAGCTTCGGGGATATCCTTTGATTCGGCGCGTGGGTGCCATCAGCCTTTGCAAGTTTATGACCGCAGCTCGGTGGACCGGAGCAACATGCGACGTGTGGCCACACGTAGTGGAGAGTGGAGACAAAGGGTGCATGGTGTAGAAAAAGCTCTTTTGGTGTAGGCATGGATGTCATACACGATACGCTCACGATATTTCCAGATCAACCCGACAGAGGTTTTCTTTGAGGAATCGCACGACTGGTTTCTTAAATATTTTCGGACTCGTTGGATCTCACCGGACAGATGTCCCCCCAAGCATCTTTCGGCGTCCCACATGTTCAGCTCGAGTTGAGAGTTGGTGAGAGGCTTTCAAGCAATGGGTTTCAACCACTTTTTGTTTACATGTTTTTTTCAGTGACACTTTTATGAAACACATTTATGAACGAAACAATATTGTTTTCTATTTTACAGTTTTATGTTTTTCATGGACTCAACAAATCATAAAACAAATCATACATTCTTCTTTTTTTTTTAAATGTCTTTAGTTTTTAAAATGAACCAATATGAACATTTTGTGAACATTTTATGCACATGTTACGATTTGTTAAAACATGTTTTAAATGACTATTCTGATTTGTTGAGTCCATAAAAAAAAATAGAAAACAAAAAAAACATCATAAAAATGGAATCTCCAAAAATTGAGGGCCGATGAGTTTTCATTAAGCAAACGCACAGAAAAATCATTAAACAAAACAACAGACGATTCTTTGGCTGTCTTCCTGACTCTCAAAGCCTCAAAGCTCGAGCGACAGCCCCATCGGCGCTTCCCCCATTGGAACACCGACCACTCCCGCGAAGAAGAAGAGCACTGCGCACCATCTCGCTTGGGGGACACCCGTCGCGTCTCCGTCGCGTACGAGGTCCTCCATCCGTCAGACCGTCCTTGACCGAACGTCGGTGACCGAACGTCACGGTCACGGCTCATCCGAGGTCTCCAAGCGCTTCTGCGAGGAGAATCTGCAGCTCCTCTTCTCCGTTCTCTTTCCGCGCAACGGCAAGAGCCAACTCTCCGGCGCCACGCAGGTGCGCGGCGCGGAGTTTCGGAGCCGTGAGCCGGCGCGGAGCCGTGAGCCGGCCTGTGGTGGTTGCCGGGTTGGGGTCAGTGTGTGAAGAGGAGGGAGTGCGAAGGTGTCGAGATCTGAAGAGATCAGTGTTGGCCAATCAACTTCATACACTGAAATCCCACATCTCGGAGATCTCGGTATGAAACAAACGAGGTTTATTTGGAGTCTTCGCGTGAGGTTGCTTGTAGGAGTTGGATTTGCTTGTGGCTTGCATCCCTTCTTAGGATGCCTTTGCAGAAGGAGGATTGCTGGAGGACTCCCGTCATGTTGGGATGCGCAATTACCTCAAACCATCCCTTGTCTCAGACTCAGAACCTGGTGAGTGTTCTTCTGATTCTTCTTTTGATTCTGGTCATCCACCACGTTGCTCGTCTCGTCTTCGGACGATTCGGACCGACTGACAGGACCTGACGCTACGGCAATCCCTGCTGGTGGCTGTGGGGGATTTGCTGTTCCGGCATCCCAACGTGGTGGAACCCTGGAGCGGGGGCAGACGTGACGTGCGAACACGTGACGTGACGTGCGGGGCAGACGGAGGGCGTTCGCGGAAGAGTTGAGCAAGTAGACTGCCCACAGCATAGATTTAAGAAAAAAAATATAAACCAGGACCAAGAACTGTGAAGAGTTTCACTTGACCATCTCTTCTGTTCGTTGGCAGCGACAAGCATGCTTTCATCAGTTTTGGAAGTGAATCAACGTGCACTCTGAATCCACCTGAGGGTCTTTGCTATCACCGGTTTTCTCGGCCGGTCGGCGCACCGTTCGGCCGGCGCCAGGACGGGGCGGCTCTACGCCACGCTGAGCGCTCCGGCGGAGGAGACGGGCAGCGCGGTGGATCTGCGGCTGACGGCACTGCTGGTGCTCACGTCGCTGGGCTGGTGCCTGGTGCCCCCCGAAAGAGGAGGGGATCTCTCTCCCCAGGTCATGGGTTAACCCAACGGGTTGGTCGCCCCTTTTCGAAATAGCCAGATGTTTTGGTTTGGTGGATGATGCCATCAGTGCATGCAGGTTAGGTTGTTGTAGGGCCTTAAGCGGATCCGTGAAAAGTGAAGTTGGCCACAAAAGATCACTGAACCAATAGACTACACTATTTCCCAGAATTGGTTTAAGGGAAATTCTACAGGTGAACACCATGGTTTTAGGGGTGAACACCATGGTCTTGCTGCAGATTTTACCTTGAACCAATCCATTGACTATTGGCTTTGGGATTTGTCTTCTTGGGTTGTTTGGCGTACGATTTTTTGCAACTGCAACTACAGCCGCCACATCAGAGAGATGACTGGCTGTCAATCGGATCCTTCGCTACGGTCCCCAAGGCATTTGGTGCTGAACGACATGATGAAGCCTCGTCCAGTGTTGCTGATTCGGGCTCTTTGGCTTACGGCCTGCAGCTTGGCCAAACAGTAGGTTTTTTGTTGGTACATCCCGCTCATGTACAATTCCAAAAGAAAGAACAAGGGTGTCTACCAAACCTACAAGGGATGAGAAAGCTTGGAGGTGATCCTGTGAAGGGCCTGATGATTTCCGGCTGGACGAAGGAATGCATCGGGGCCAGTTCGGGGCCATTTGGGAGATCTTGGGAGGGGACAGTCGCTCCAGTCGCTCCAGTCGTTCGCCAATATAGAAACCCGCCCATCTCAAGAAAACGTGGTCGTGCACCAGTGATTGACCGCAGGTGAGTATATTGAACTTTAATGATCTGCACCGTTTTGTAGACGACATTGACCGACTCCCCAAGTTTTGCCGATGAGTTTTCACAGCTCCTGGTTTAAAGGGAGATGAGTTCTCCTGCAAAGAACAGACTCAGAGGAGAACCAGTGCATCCATCAGCATCTCCATGCTGAGGTAAACACGAGGCGACCGCCCGGGTGGCGCGAATCCTCTTCCAGGACAGCCAGGGCGACAGCAGGGCGATTTCCGCTGGGGCGAAACCTCGCCGCGGGGCCCGTTGTTCAGTCCAGACATGAGGAGCTTGCCAAGCGAAGCACGAACGTGGTCTACAACTTGCTCCCAGAGATTGTCGCCCGCTTGCCGGAGCATGTGGAGCCCGGCGTCGAAGGGGGTGCAGTCGCGCGAGTCCAATACATCATGCAATTTGTGGAGAAGGAGACCCGGATCGACGCAGTCGACATCCATTTCTTTGGGAGCACAGCCATTGCAACGTTCACAGCCTGCGTGCATCAATATTTTGATCGTGCCAATCATGCTGTAACACTCACACCTAGAAGGTGCTCATTCAAGACATCATTTTTGCAAGACAACTTAGAACAAGCATAGGTCCGTGAACCGTATCCCCGAATCAAACCGACCAGATCCGACCAGACTCACTTCAAGGATCTTCAAGGTTGTCCCGAGCAGAACGCCAAAAATTCTCAAATAGATAGAAAAGTAGATCCCCACTAAAAGTGTATTGGAAACCGTTTCTATCTATTTGGGGATCGGGATTAGTACAAAGAAGACATATAAACACGCTTCGAAAGGAGAAGCACATCGAGGGCCTCATCGAGAAGTTCACGCTGCGCTTGGAGCAATGCGCCAGTGGCGCCGGCGCCGCCGACGCCGAGGCGGGGTTGGTTTCCCGCCCAAACGCGCCAAGAACGGACATCCATGGAGGAGCCGCCTCCTCCCTGGTGAGGGATAGGAGCGCAGTTCGCAATTCACCCGGCCATGTCTGAGGAGATCGAAAAGGTCGACATAAAAAATGACACGCAACTCAAAGGCCAACAAAGAAATGGAGTAAAAGAACACACGCACACACACACACACATCCTACAAAGCGGACAACAAGCTTAGGGCTTTACATCTATCTACATACTTACCTTCAATCTTTTTGTAACATCCTTGGATGATCAAACACACGAAGAAGAACACGTGACAAAGACATTACTGCAACAAACAATAGAAAGCACAGTTAAAACAGCACAATAGTTTTTTTTTTTTTTTTTTTTTTTTTTTTTTCGTTTTGTAGTGGCTTGTTTCTTTGGTGACGTCCTTGGAATTTTCATGAACTCTGAACACAACAAAGAAACCATACAGCTTCTAAAACCGTATCGGCATAAATCACTCAAGTGTAGCAACAAAAAGTATAGATATACACTGTAATACAAACATCTGCAATTTGGGAAATGCACAACAGGAAACAATAAATTTATGATGTAAGTATAATAGGCTGAAGCCACTGTTGATGAAGAACCAGCTGTAAACAGCTTGCAGGAAACGCAATACCACTTTTGCACATAGTAGTACACGAAAAGCCCAACACATAAGAAGGAATTGGAGAGCAACCATAAATCAAAGGAAAAGCCAACGCTGCCGACAAAACAGGACTCCACTTTGCCTTTCTATACATCCTTGAGTTCTCAGCGTTAGCCTGTAACTCAGCTTGCCGTTTTGTTGGCAGCAGACAATTCAGAGGTCTAAGGTCTACGTTCAAGTATTGTATTCTGGTGGATGTGTTGAGGAGATTTTGGGTTGGCTGGAGCCTCGAGCAACCAAAATTCATCCTGATTCCCCACTAGGTCAAATATGGTTTTTGACAGGGAGTCAACTCCGTGTAATGGAACAAGATGACCCAGGATTTTGGGGCACACTCTGGTCCAATGGCCGGTGTGAGGCCAACTGAAATGAACATAGAAATCATTTGGCTCCCTCATCTTGCAAAATGCGTGTGTTTGATCTGTTGCTTTGTGAATCCTGCGTGAAGCTGGATGCCGCGAGCGCAGGCCCAGGAGGATGGCGAAGCCGCAAGCCCCGCGAGAGTGGAGGAGCAGTGGACGGACGGATGTCGAGAGTGGAGGGTCACGACCTGTCTCAAGCTGCCCTAAACAAGTTCAAGATGTTTGGAGGAGATGGAGGATTTTAGGCCTGGGAATGGGGTTTGTTTGACCAGAGATCTTTTGTTTGAAGCATTGAAGTAATTGGGGTAGAGGAGATCCAACTGCACGATTTTGCACTTCGGTGTGCGAGAAGGTTTTGGGAAGTACCACACAACACTTCTGTCACTTCCATCACTTTTGAACTCAGTTGCTGCTCCGTGTGATTTCTAGCGCACGATGTGTCCTAGTTTCTTTTGGCACACGAAAGAAACACACCAGTTCTTGATGCCTTGATCTGCCTGATGTTCATTGACCACCACCGACCGTCGACCTGCTGCACCCTGAGAACTGATCCAGTCCACCATGAACGCCGCGAACGAGGAACGACACCAACTAGGTCAACCAGTCGGTGCTCGAACGCCCCACGGCCAGATGAAGCCACGAAATCACCATGTCCACGTCTTCGTGATGACATGTCCTCCCGCACGGTCAAGACGTAGGAGTTTTTCAAGGCTCATCCGGTCAAGACGACGACCCCCTTTCTTCGGGACGCGGTCCGACTTCATTCCGGTTCGCCCCGGTCACTCGCGGTCCGGGGCGCGTGTCCGAAAGAAAGGACACGGTGGCTTGCCTGGCCCATGCCTTGGGTGCGATGAGCCTTTCAGATCGATGCGTCTTGCGGCTGCATGACGTGGTGGTGACCCGGAAGGCCTTGAACTTGGCCCTCTCCTACTATCCGGTGGCGCGAGAATGCCTGCTGGCGGTCGTGGAGCCGCGGTCAGGGATGGGATATGATGGGATGTTTAGTGATCGGTTTGCCTTGGTGGGGCTCTACAGTAACAGTTGATTACCCCTTTGGATGGTTTGGAATTTGAGAAAGGCTCCGAAGCCACTGTAACTGTTTAGTACGACATGACAAATCTTCTCAATACCCTGGTTAGAACCCATTGGGGAATCTCCAAGCATGCTCATAAATCCATGTTCTCTTCCAAACTGACCGAGCTGCTCCGTGCCATGCTCTCTCTGTGCAGGAGAAGGCTCGGAAGCCGCGCGGCAAGGGTGAGGAGGAGCCGAAGGCGGATGGAGCTGGCGATGGAGCTGCAGGTGGGAAAGCAGGCTCAGCGGCGCAAGCTGCTTTGGATGCCATGGAGCAGTTGGTGAATACCTTGGCGCACGGCAAAGAGGATCTGCAAGCGCCAAGGGGACTGTCTTGGGTGTCAGGTTGACTGGAGGTGAGACTGCCCAAGAATTGAATCATGCATATGATACATATGAGTCATATTATTGTATAGTCTAGTCTAGTCATATGAGGTATATATATATATTACAAATAGTCTATAGTATCCAACGTTATATATATATATATATGAATATATATATACACATATAATTTCTGTGTATTATTTTCCAAAGTTATACATACCAAAGTTGTATTATTTTCCCATCCAACTTCCTTTTGTCCTTTGATTTCTTCCGCCAGAGCTTGCCGGCTGCTTGTTCTCGGTGCTCCCGCGGGGTCGAACACCGAACCGTTCGCGCAGTTCGAAGGTCGACCGGGGGCAAAGAGACCATTGTTTGAGAAGACCATCGAACAGAAGACCATGCGTTGGTCCGCCAATTCGATGCCTCAGCGATGTCGCAGCTGCCCAAGCGGCACACCTGTAATTTGCGAGGATCCGACTGTGCAGATCTGGTGATTCGGCGCCATGACCTCACAGTCTCAGTCTGACTGCGGGGATTAGTCAGAGTCATTGTCTCCAAAAAAGGGTCGAGAATGATATGTCGAGAAGAAGCGAAGCACATCGAAGCGCCAAATTCTGAGTGAAAACCCCATCGCGTTTGTTTCGTTTCGTCCTTTATTTGTTCGTTTGGGACGTTTTAACGGTGCACAGGTTGACAGGTTGACAGGTTGATTGGCGTGTTGGTCATATGGCACCCTGGAACCCCAATTTTCCCCTTTCAGCTTGACGTGTCTCGTGGTCTGTTCGGGTCCTTCGCCCGGCTGGTTGACACCACCGGCCCCGTTTCCGGTGCCATGACGACCATGACCAGTGATGGTGATGCCACGCGGTTGGTGGCCGTTGGCGAGCTACAGACCCAACGAGACATTGTCCGAAACGAGACAAGTCGAAACTGCACTGATGTAGATGAAGTGAACACCCCGCCCCCCTGACGGGTCGGAAGCGGATAGTGTGAAGACCCCCGCCAGGTCGGAGTTCGATCTTCGAGCCCAGAATTCCCCGATCGTCAGAAGTCCGAGTTTCGACTCTTTGAACGGACACTTCCGAATTCCGAGGACTGGATGACTTTTCGGTTGACTGGACTCCCCCTTGGGAACCATATGAACAATATGTTGAGGAGTTTATGAAGGGACGAGAAAGAGCAAAAAGAATGAGAGAAATAACACGTCACACAGATATTATGATAATCATTGGCACATGTGCTCATACACCCTAGCCGGCAGCCTTCAATGACCATCAATAAGAATCCCACAGCTTCCTCGACAAAGTTTAACTTGGTGGTTAGTAACGACAAAGTTAAACCTTGTGGTTGGAAGGGATGGGGGACCAGGTAGATGGATCATGGTGCCCACATTTGCATCAAAGGGCTTCCTCTTGCAAGAGCCATTTCTTGGTTCATTAATTCAGTGCAGTGTGGCATGCGTCTAGGGGCCAGAGCGTTACGCAAGCGTCAGGCTCTTAGATTAATGAAGTGATGCTCAATCACTACATGTGCCCCTTTAATTCATTTGCCCAGGCCATGCAGCAGATTGTGGAGATGATTTGTTTGAAAGAGGCCAGGTGGCCCTACTGCTTGCAAGCAGCCCATCAAAACTTTGATATACTTTTTGAATGTAGCGTTCATGATCGTTCATGAACAAGTTCGCAAGTGGATCTTTGAGGATCCTGCTGATCATGAGATCTCTTGGCACTTGGCTCAAACATTTTTTGAAGAACACACGGCACCTTGATCCATCTACCTGGTCCCCCCGAATTTTCTTTATCACCGCCATCCCACTCTCCTAAAGGATTCTGTTTGTGCTGCAGCTAGCGCAATGCCGGAGTCCAAACCCAAGCCTGAGCAAGTTGAGCTGCTCAAGGAGTGCAGCATTCGCTGCCATACATGCTAGTGGGGAAAGAATATAATCGATCGATCCCATAAGCCGTTCAGTTTCTTTATATGAGAGGAGTTCTACGAAAGTTTCCTCTCGGCTGACTATATCAACGATCGGATGGCAGAAATCAAAAAACACTTGAAGAGCAAGAAGGCCAGTTTTGGAGTTTGCATTCTTAACACTGCTACTATATGGCCAATGTTGAGACCCCAAGATCAGGCCCCAGTGGTGTTCACCTTCATGGACGTCACTTCAAAGTTCATCGATGAGGACCAGGCAAGGTGACCATATTGTCGACCAAGTCGTTAAACCATATCGTCCATATTACCATTTGCAGGTGACCTTGAAGAGCAACTACGACTTCATTCTGCGGTGGGTGTCGGTATCCACATTTGTTGGCCAACCACCTACCAAAAAAGAGGTGCAGGCCTGCTCAACTTTGTCTATCGGATATATAAATGCCTGGAACTTGAATTGCAGCCCCAAAACTCCAATGTCCTCCCAGGCAGCATTGGCCTATGTGAACAAGCATCACCGCTTGAACAGCTTTGAAGATAAAGAAGCAGAACAGGACTATATGAGTCGTTTTCAAAATAATTATCGTCATTTACTTTATACAAGGGTGTTTCATCCAAGAGTGCAATTTCGAGTTTTCCTTGGAAACGATACGGGACGTCCAAAAAAACGATACGCCATGTTGTTATATGCATTATGTCTTTGAATGTTTGGGAGTTCATTTTTGGATGTCCTTGGTCCTTTGCTGAGCATTTATGCTCAAGGGTCTTCAGGGTGTGGTGCCTCAGTCACAGCATGTGGCGCGTTGAGCTTCGCGAGCGCCTGGCCGGAGAGCAATGTGGACGAAGCTACAGATTCTTGATAGCGCCCTAGTGGTGAGCATTTTCCTAGCATGTCCTTTGGTCGGTTCATGGCCTGCTTGTGATTGGTAGAAGTGCCCACCAGACCTCCCAAGTTTGGAGAGCTAACATGTCCCACCCCAGTAAGCAAGGTTGATTCAGAAGACATGGTGGTCATGGTGGAGCGCGCGTTTGCTACATCCTCACAGCCCAGCAGCCGTTTGGCGTGGGACTACGACAAAGATGACTGGGTCATCGTACCTGGTCTGATTTCAGTACCTTAGTCCAAGGGTGTGTCCACCGTAGAAACCATGATGCTGGGAACGTTAGAGTTGTTGTGGATGTTGTGTTCTTTAGTGTGTTTTGTGCCCTTCGCCAAGGTCAACATTGACAAACGACAGGAAGGGCATCTGGAATGAATTGCCTGAAGGCACCATGAGCTTCCCCACTTTTTGGCGCATTGCCAGGAAGCATCTGAGGCATTACAAGCCTGCGGCAACCATCAACGACTATTGCACATATTGCATGGACCTCAAAAAGCAAATTCTGCCTTCAACAGAGAAGTTACTAGCAGATGTGCGCAGTGAGCTGATTCAGTTCATGGAGGGTTATTTTGACCAATGGGATGCGTTCAAGGCCAGTGAAGGACTTGAAGACAAGCCAGGACTGCATTTGCGCAGCTTGCGGCATTATATATACCATCACTCAGCACGCACACCATGCAGACAGCATGCTGAGCATGCTTTCCCATGTGGGTTGGCTCAATTGCGCTCTCGACAGTCGGAGTTTCCCCAGAAGCAGCGTGTGTCTTTGCATGCAAAGGAGGCAGATCTTTGCCTTCAGTTGCAGAGCATGTCGAAGTTGTTGGACGCCTACTTGTTTCATAGGTCCGCTAACGAGCTGCAGAAGCCAGCAATGCTGAGATTGCTGGAAGAGCCCCCTGCAAAAAGCGTCGTTGTGCTTTCCGACTTCAAAGAGCTTGTCACACTTCCATTGAGAGCTGTCAAAAGCGGCGAAGAATTCTACGCAACTGCACGCAAGGAATTGAGTGTGTTTGGTTCTATTCTGGCTGAGCGCAAGTCTGATGTGGACCCGACAGTGCTGTGGACAAGAGTGTTGATTGTATCTGACGTGCTTGACCATACCTCGTGCAGAGCTTCGCAATGCATTGATACAGTGCTGAAGCAGCGACGGGGGTCTGGTCCAGCTGATGAAATTCATTTGCTCAGCGATGCTGGGCCCCATTTCAGGTCATACGAAGCGATGCATCACTCTTGCTGTGTTCTCCCATTGGCTCACAAAGCACGTGTTTGTGTGCACTGGGGGGTCGAAAAGCACTTCAAGAGCGAAGCTGATAGGCTATTTGCTTTGCTTGCCCGATACATCAAAGATGCGCAAGTGAAACAGCATGACCTCCTGGACACAGATGACCTATGCGACTGGGTGGGGAAACGTGCCTCTGAGGCAAGGAAGTTGGATCCAACTTCGCCTTTTGTTGTTGTCATCAAGGATGTGGAACCACAGAAGAAACCGGCAGAAGACAGGTACAGCCTCTCTGTGAAACATTTTCACATTACTCGAACATACTGTGTCTCAAGCTGTCCAGTGACCAATGCTCGTAGCCGCTTGGGAGTGCGCATTTACAATCACATTTTTCAAATATGCAAGCAGCGACTGATTTGACTACCAATGTGGAACTGGTTCCAAGCAGGGACACAGCGCCTGAATATAGGCGAGGATATTGGAACCAAGCTGGTCGTGAGAGATGAGATCATGAGTTGAAACCTTTGGGCTTGCATGATGAGACCTCCCTGACAAGGCGACAGCAGGCTCAAAGCCACTTGCTTGTGGATGGGGCAGATCAAGAATTTGGGAAACTGAATGAAAGGTGTTTGATTGAGAAAAGGAAGAAGTCAGCTTTGAAGCAAAAGAAACGGGCTGAAGATAGGAAGCGCCAGCTTGAGGAGGGGCCTGCGTCCAGCAGTGAGTCCTCTTCTTCCTCTCAATCTTCTGACACCAGCTCCTGCGCTGATTGAAAACAGATCAGCTGCTGTGTGCAGCAGCTGGGTTGGGTTCGGTGTGTGGGGAAGGATGCCCCAAAACTATTGCAAGGTGGGCTATGACTGACATGTGGCCCAAACCATGTAAAACCTGCAAAACGATACACACAGTGCTCATACTACCAAACCCTGTAAAACGATACGGGACGTCCTAACTTTGAATGAATACACCTTTAGCAAGTAATTTAGAAAACAGCTCATATGAATTCATCACAACTGAATTCTTCATCAAGATTATAGCTAGCTATAGCATGAAGAGTTCAGCCTGAATGCGTCCAGGACTGGCTGGAGACTGAGGGGAACCTGCACCGGGGTTGTGCCAGCTATGTTGCTGAAAGAGCAAAGCGAAATCCTGGATCGAGGCCCGGTATATCACCTCACTGATTATTTTAAACCGAGGTTTCTTAATTGAGGCGGTCTTGATCATGACCCTGGTGCCAACCAATAACACAATTCAAAAGAACTAATTCATTCCAGGCCTGGGCATACAGCTATGAACACCCTGAAGAAGGCCTACAAAAGTGCGATGCAGGCGCACCAGATTGAAGTCCCAGCTAGCTTAATTAAACCCGCGCCACTGACTGTCAGGAGTACCGAGATGAGCGCCCGAACAGAGTTGTCAGATCTGTCTGGGTCTCAACTGATTATACCAGTGGTTTTGAGGCAAATCCTGAGAAATCCATAGAGTGCTTTCTTTCAATCTTCAACTAGAGCCTGAAATAACAGAACCACCCCATGCGCACGCTCAGGCTGGAACCCATCCTCCAGTTTCCGAGCCCATGGCTAAGTCTGCTCCTATTCGGGCGTCATCTGGGGAGAGTTTTGATGACGATGACGATGTTTGGGTTGAGAACCTCCATCCTATGAACGAAGATGACCCACCAACCAAGATGCCTTCCGAGAAGAAGTCAACCCCGAAGAAACGAAACTGGAGATTGAGACGGCCTTCACATGTTGACATTTGCAAACAGCTTTTCCCACTCTCTGGGCCACCGAAGCAGCCTATCGATCTAGATGCAGACCAAGAGGAACAGGGTTCAAAGCTTGAAGAAAGTGAAGAGGATGAGGAAGCAAAGAAAACAAAGTCTAATGACAAGGGGACCTATAAGGACCAATTTTTTGTCACATATCATACGCATGTCATGTATCAGTGCGTTTTTTACTATTTAAACATCACCAACCAATGAAACCCATGATGTCCAGGACCGTGGGCCTTTGTGTGTGCCACCCACACTCCCCCAAGCGGCCGCTGAAGCTACCGAGAAACTGATCTCCAGGGAGAACAGCCTTGCAGCTGAAGATCTTCAAAAGGCCTGGCCATGTTCGATCGTCGTGCCCGGCTTCAATCAACGAAGATCAAGTGGTTGGGTTTTTGGTGCTAGGCCCAAAGAGTTCTTCGCAAAGCTGCCAGGGATGGGGGAGAAGGGGAAGAGCGGGGAGAAGACTCGTCGCAATGTTCAGAAAATTTGCAGAAGAAGAAGCCACCTGCTGGGAAAGCAAAGGGGGGGAGAGGCAAAGGAAAGGGGAGAGGAAAAGGCAGGGGTAAGGGCAGGGGCAGGAAACCAAGTGACCCAAAAGCTGAAGCAATGAAGGAGAAAAACCGAGTCAAAGCAAAGGCTCAACCTCAACAGATTGAACATGATCCCATTTCCGAACCCCCGAAGAAAGCAAAAACAGAGAAGACAGTCAATATGGATCAGGACTCCATCTGGTAAACCTGCCAGTTTATATGTTTTACATATTCGAATATGGACGCCTGTATGTCATACGCAGGATATGGAAGAACTCTCACGTATTGACGATGGCCTTTTCTATGTTGAAGACATTGCTGGAAAGGCACAGGTGTACCAAACTTATTTTCCTTCTGGAGAGTGGGATTCCTTTTAGCCGGCCGTGCCTTGCAAGTGTGTCATCCTGAGGTCGTGGACCATCCAAGGGCCTGACGGACATCAAAGCATTGGTGTGGTGCCGGGGGCTCGTCGTGGGCGATAACTGGCTCATTTTGGTATGAGTTGAAAGCACGCTCAGGGCCTATGCAAGGAGCTTCTACGTTAAAGACGTTCCAACGGATCGAATGAAGAAGTTCAACGAGCGCTGGGGCACTTCCTTTAAAGCTGGACACTTACCACTTTTATATATTCATATACTTATAAGACATTTGGCGCGCTAGGTCAACAAAAAGAAGGGGGCAACCGTTGGCTTCTGTAAGTTCTCATCTATCAGTGATGCGTTTGAAACTCAGCTAAAGCTGCCAGCACCAACAATGGGAATGCACTTCAGTCACAGGTGGGTGGCTGCAAAGGAGCTCGCTGGTTGGCCTGTGGATGTGGACTAGCGGTTCATTTTCCAACTAGATAGCTACTGGGGTTTAGTGATCAGGAGTTCCCCATAGTCTGGACACATGGCTGACACTTCGATTCACAAATTGAAAGCGCTTTCAAAACAGATGTCTTCGGAGGTTCTGTTCCACCGGGGTAGCTCCATGATCCAAATAGACATGCAGGGCAGGGCATTAGAAAAGAGTGAATTGCCTTTACTCTTCGTTTCGTGAACTCATTCATGCGCATGAGCTCATGTGAAAATGGGTGAGGAGTACAAACTTTGTGATGCATGCATAAGTCATGAATAGTCATGATCACATGAATCGCAGTGTTTCCCAGCTAGCCCAAAAAGACAGGGCTTGTAGACTGTCGACCCAGATTTGGAAATGGGTAGATCACCAGAATGGATGTTCTCCAACCTGGCCCTGACCAAGAGTACAGTCCGGGCCTTGCTCGCGGTTGGATTCCCAACCATCATGCGAAGACCTCAGGCGTCAACAGTACAGTTCTCTTGGAGCGCGCATATGTGGTGGTGTGTTTCTATAGATTGTGCGCGCACACATTATTATTTGAATGAGGTTGCATTTCTGCGATTATTTGGCACAGAATAACTACCAGGACCTGGAGAGAGTCGAATCGAATATATTCTCACTGTTTGCCAACCTCCCTCACCTAGGACCTATCCAATGTCGACCTGTTCAGTGGCCAAGGTGCCATTTGGAAGAGCTTCAGCTGGCATCTCAATGAGTGATCCGCTTGCAAAAAAACTGAATGAGTCAATTTGCTGGCCATTGTGTTTGCTTCTTAGACGATGCTGGAGAGAGGACGCTGGCACCTCAATCTTGACATGCTTTGTCATCATGACCGTAGATGACTCATCTATAAAATGTTTGAGGGCCCACCTCGAGTTAGAGGAAACAGATCTGGATGATCTTACATCTGTGTGCGCCTCTCAGCCTGGTCGAACCTGCAAACTTCCCCTGACTTGATCCCCGGCCATCAGGTCTGGGTTTGCAAGGGCAACCTTGCATGTCCTGCGCCTCAAGCCTTCTGGCTTGCTCACAGCGGGCCTACCATGTAGCTCTTATATATTCCTCAACAGGGGAACCAGCCTGCGCTCGAAGCAGAGACCACTCGGTGACCAAAGCAAGGGCTATGTAAGAGTATCCAACCAGTCACCCTGCTGGATATTGTAATTTGATGTAATTTGAATGAAATCCACCATTGCATCTTAATTCTGTTGGAGCTGTTACCTGGCCGGAAGGTTTCTTGTTCATGCTATAAGGCTTGGATGCCGCTTGGTATTGCTTTGCCTTTTGGCATCCCTTCGTGCGTGCCAATGGCTGATCGAGCAGCCATCATCAAGCACATTTGTTTGATTCCCCTATTTGCAGTTCTTGCAGAGAGCTTTAAAGCCTCACATACCCATCCACTTCCAAAGATTGCCGGTAACTCAGGATGGTGCCGCCATGAAATCACCGATCCCATAGTTTCCAAAGCCTGGGCATGAAACCCTGTCTCTGAGTTGGATGGGCATTTTTGGTGCAAAGTCTCCCAAGCTGACCATTGGCATTGGGACCCCGTCTGGGCCCCAAATCCATTAATGATCAATATATAGTAGATCGACTTCAAGCACCTCTTGCCACTTAGGAAGTGGATGGCCAAATTGTGGAAACCTCTGACCAAAGCGCTGAAAGCCAAGCTGAAGTTGAACTCGAAGGGGGTTGTCAAAAAGACCACGTTGAAGAGCGGAAAGCAATCTGTGTAGGGATACCTAGTTTTTGGAAGTGTTGGGAACCAAGTCATTATAGTCGAGCGAGAGCATTCGGGTCTTCCAGGCAGGGTGGCCCACTTCTTCGGGCTACCCAGATCTACCCAAAGGGCTTCGGCCGGAAGATTGCTTCCCTCCACCGTGCGTATATGGCCGTAAGCTCATTGATCTTCATATTATATATATATACGTGTTTTTTGATATCTCAGTGGGCACTGGAGGCCAAGGCCTCCTTTGACAATGAAGTGGCAGTGAAAGCAATTGAAGCCTGTGGGGTGGGGATCCCAATGATCATGTATATATATATATATATCCTTGCAAATCCCTGAGCAACCTCCTAACCGACTGACCACTTGAGGCCCGGGGCATCAAGGTGCCTTTCAGCTGGAAGCATGCCGACCTCAAACCGGTGGGCGAGTTTTTGAAATCTGAGAAGGCAGCTGGTAGGTTCAAACCCAGTTTCAAGCTTGACTTCTGAGCTAGCAGTGAGCATACTGTCCACTCGAAGTGCTGTAAATCTCTGTGAGGAACAGTTTGATGTTATTGATGCTCCCACTGCTGTACTGCACACAAATTTGTAATTATAGTAGTTCCTCAACTACTCGAAGAAAATGCTGTTCGAACCCATAGTGTGAAAAGTCCGTGAAACGACCGTGAAAAACCCGTGAAACCACCGTGAAAAACCCGTGAACACCATGCAAAAACTTCAACCATTTTTGCATTGGTGTTTGATTGGCTCATAGCGTCCATTTTTCATATTTTGGTGATTTCCATGGCTAAATCTGCAATCCAAAAAGCAAAAGACAGGGCAGCCAAGGTTGCACAGGAGTCGTCTTTGAAGGATGCTGGGTCAGGACCCCCAGCTATAGTCTATTATAAGTGCACACCCTCGACCGTGCAAAGCTGCTGAGGCCCCCCGATGCACCAGAAGCAGGCCCACACTAGATTGCTAGTACTAGTACTAGACCCTTAAGATTCTAATTGGTTTCTTGGAGGTGCCAGTGCTCCTCATCATGGTCAAGGTGAACAGCTGGCGACTCCCCCATCCAGGATTAGGTGCAGAGGGAAAACCAAGGAGATCCAGCGTATTGAATCCGCTGAGACCTTGAGATTTGGTGAGACTCGTGATTCGCTGCCGTCAGACCCGTGCGTCAAGCGTGCCACCACCGTCGAACAGGAAACCAAGGCATCAAAAGGGGCTACCCCACACACGGCTTCTGAAAGGAAGCGCAAGGTGCCACCTGGATCATCCTCTGACAGGAAATCTGGTAGAAAAATTGCTGCTGAGGATGGGAATCCGGATGATCAAAAGCCAAAGCGTTTGAGAAAGATGAACACACAAGACCTTCCCAAAAGTCCCATCAATCCCAAGTCTCTGCCTTTCGACGCTCCAACCCCCGACCAAGCTGCCATGATGAAGTTGCCAGATCATGAGGAGGTCATGCCGCCCAAGGAGCCTGCAGCAAAAGGCAAAAAAAGGAGAAGGAGGAAACGGAGGAAAAGGAGGAAAAGGCTAGCAAGGCTTCAAAGGGAAGGAGTGCCAAGGCGAAAGCCAAACCAAAGGCAAAAGAAAGTCGAAAAGCACAGGCGAAAGCAAAAGCAAGTCCAAAAGCAAAGACGAAAGCAAAAGCAAGTCCAAAAGCAAAGGCGAAAGCAAAAGAAGCAGCACGCCCGGCAGCAAAAAGCAAGGCGAAGGTTGAGAGCAAGGTTAAGGAGGACACAAAGGAGCCAGAGGAGCTGGAAGAGCATGATCTCGCTGATCATGATCATGAGGAAGGTGAATCTAAAAAAGAGGCAAAGATCAAGGAGAGGAACAAGAATGCACACAAATTGTACATGCGGTTCTGGCGGAACGTGCGGAGCCAGGGCCTAAATATAGTTTCTTTAATGCATATGTCACATGCAAAAAGCAGTATGTGCATCACATGGTTTAATTCATGTACATACAGTATGATCAGATCAGGTCGGGAGACACCAAAGGAGATCAAGGATTTGCGAAAGAGGTTCAAGTATTGCTTGGTACTCAGCATGCGCATATATATATATATACAAAGTAGCCATGTAGTCGTTTACATATAACTGCGAGGCCACGCGCAGCAGCAAATGCTCTATGAAGACTTCCTGAAGACTAAGGGCAAATGGCGCCAGGGTGTTGTCTGGAGAGAAGTGGTCCAGCGTCACAGGGGTGTAACTCGGGGAGTTCGAAAGTGGCTGACCAGGAAACAGCTCATCGAACATTTTGTGGATGAAGAGACGGCCGATGCTGTAATTGCCAGGAAACACGAAATTCAGGATCTTGCGGGTACAGAGATACGCGAACACCCAGAGTTACCAGGACCGGATTAGAGCATTAACCATTAAACTACGTGTTTGATTCTTGCGATAGGACTGGAACAGTACCTGGTCTTGGTTGAGGATGAAGAAGTCCAAGAGGATGAGAACCTTATGACAGACATGTTCAAATGCAAAGATGAGGGTTCAGCGTCTGAGAGTGAGTCCAGTGAAAGCTCTAGCAGCACGAGGGGCAAGAAGAAAAAGAAAGATAAGAAAGGGAAAAAAAGGCAAGAACTCGAAGAATAAGAAGAAGAAGAAAACAAAGGGGAAGAAGGGGAAGAATAAAGGAAAGGGAAAGGAGTCAGAGGAGGAAGATCCAGAGAAGCAAAAGCTTGCTGAATCAGAAAAGACAGCTCGTAAGGCACTGCTTCAGTAAAACCAACGTGCTCAAAAGCAATCACTTGTTCCTGTCAGACCTTGGCTGACATCACGAAGAAGATCAAAATCTGCAATGTTGAAATGACAAAGACTAAAGACATGTGCACTTCTTAGTTCATGAGCTCATGAACATATACTATAACATACTGTTTGAAGCTTGAGGTTTTTCCACTCCCGCTTGAGGTCAGCCAACATGAAGGAGGCGTTTGAGAAGGATGTGGGCCAGGCCTTGAAGAAGCTCTCAGACGCCCGCTCGGTGATGCAGAAAGCCCTGGAAGCCGGATCGAAGGACTTGGGTTGCGCACTCTAATTAGCATCATCCCATTTAAACACTCTTGCAGGATGCAGCCAAAGTCGACAAGGCTTGTGAGGTAGGAACCAAAGCAGTCGAAGGCTGCGACGGAGTCATGTTAGCATTGGGCAAAAAGAAACCCAAGCCCAAAGAATCCAAAGAATAGCTAGATCATGCTAGATCATGCTTTGGAATGTAGGGGATCAGTGTGCCGATTTGAGATGATTCATGCATGCAGCATGCAGTTTAAAGTTTAAACAAAGATCGCAAGGCTTTTTATTGGCACTCTAGATAATGTTCACGTGTGCATACGCGCGCACTGATCAGTGCTCCGGCCAGCCTCATAGACCCGCTGAACCTAGCCGGGCAGAGTCGAAGGAGCCAATCACCAAAGCGCAAGGTGATCTAGAGTTTTGGAATCCGAGCAAACGAGAAAGGGTACGCATCACAAGAGTTCCGTCTGATCCGACTAATTTACCGGATATTGTTTTTGAAAACCATGCCACGCAGGTTTTGGATGTGAAGAACACCGACATCACCAAGTATCTTCCATTTTGGATGCTGTCGCTGGAGGGGTTGGGGGCCAAGTCAAGTTTGCTCTTTACATGGAGGCTGCCCGACCCAACAACCAAGGCCTCAATCGATGAGAAGATGGCTGACATCAACTCTTGCCTCAGAGACGCTTGTTTTGGGATAGGGATGGCCCTTGTTCAATTTGAATCATTGGTCCGGGTTGATCTTTGGCCGTTTCCAAGGACACTCCAGTGGGATTGCCCAAAACCATTCGCAAGCTTGGAAGTTACGGCAGGTTCAATCGTGCTAGAGACTTTCGGCGAGCTTTGAAGCCACCAGTGGAGCGGGGCTGTCAAACATATCCAATAATGTACATGTTTTTTGTCTATATACAAGGATCCACATGAGCACCAGTTTTGTTCCAGGAGCCGATCATGGTTGAGACATTGGTGAAGGAAAAACTTTCAGGAGATGACATCACCACAAAACCTATGAGGATTCCAGCGTTTCTTCCTGAACATCTGCTGGCACACCTGTTTGGCCCACTTGGGATGGAGATCGGAGATGATGCGGTGTCCATGTACTGGGCACATGCGAAAAAATACAATTGCCCTTGGAAAAATATATCGCCTGATGGTACCCATCAACCACTGGGACTTTACGGGGATGCCGCAAAGTTCGCCCCAACAGGGGAAAAAATCATTGCTGTGTTTTTGAACATAGTTCTTTGGGCTCCCAAATCATCCAGCATGAGCCGATATCTTCTCTTCAGCCTGGAGAATGACCATTGCCTAGGACCTGCAACTTTGAACCCGTTGATGGCTCCTATTGTCGAATCCCTTTGGCGGTGCTTTCAGGGGATCAATGTGATGGGTCGAACGATGCATTTCGCAGTATCGGAGTTGAGAGGGGACTGGGAGTGGCATGTCCAGTCCCTCGACATGCAACGTTCCTGGAGGATGTCGCAATTCTGTTGGAGGTGTGACGCCAGCAAACGACCCGGCGATCCATGCTCCTTTTGGGACTTGTCTGATGCACCAGATTGGGAAAGAACGCAACTATCACATGGTCAGTTCTTAGCCCGGATGATCAAACCAGAAACAGCTAGATCCTCACAAGCAATTGGTACCTCAGTTTTTTCCGATATATATTATGTGTACCATATAGCTGAGGAAAAATCAATGACTGATGTGACCTATTTGACTCGGATTGTATGAGGTGCTGTACTGCTACTGCCGAACTTCCACTTTGGTATACTTCGCCATTGCAGCTTACACAACTTGAACTTGGGCATAATGGGAACAGCCAATGGGGGAGCTTTGCTTCCTGGTAATAAATATATGTGTACAGGCATGTGCCATATGCCCCTGAGATTCATGGACCTACCCCCAAGGTTACTACTGGCAGACCTCTCGTTTTTCGGGTGCGCTGAGACATTGACGCTGCGTCAAAGGCTGGCTGTGGCATACCGAGACTTTCGGCAACGGTTGAAGGCAAACCAGGTGCAATGTGGACAGCCGCTTTTTAGAGAGTCTATGGTATCTTGCCCATATAGATTTTTCACATGTGATTTCAATATATAAATATAGTTATTCCATTGCCTCAGGTATGGTCCAAGAATTCTGGAGCCTATTTAACCGCCAAAGGCTACAACAACAGGTGTGTTCTGGCATGGCGATCAGATTGCATGGCAATTGCAATGAACAAGGTTGTTCCAGTGAATCGCTATGTTGGAGCCTGGATCCAATCCGAAGTTGCAGCAAACAATATGGCCTGGCCATATCATGATATGCTGGGGCCAACAGCTGTTTGTTTGAAACTTTCATGCATATATCATGAGTGACCTTCTTCATTTTTGGTAATTGCACTTGGTTGGTTTCCTGCCCAATCCTTCTGGCCCTTCTCCTGAGGGACGCGCTGAACCAGATGTTCTTGACAATGGAGTCTTCTGGTCGGTACCTGTCGCCCAGCTGTCATGATCTGGTGCCATGTGAATCCCTATGTAGAGACTACTCTTGTGGCTTCGTGATATTTAAGGACTAGATCAGAAGCGGATCGCATCCACGACTACGGCATGACGTTTTTGAGAGTTCACCGACTGTTGACATCCATGTCCCAAAGGCCAGGGGTGTGACAGCCTCCAACTCTGACATTGTTTTTCCATGTTTTTCCTTCTTGGCAGGCACAATCTGCTCTTTTGGTTGTCTAGGCCTAAGATCCATGTACCTTGGCCATGGTAAATCTGGATTTCCAGGTGTGAGGGGGGCCTCAGCTAGTTTGTCCCTTCGCATGCCTAGATGGTACATCACCAATTGCGTGATTGCAAGGCACGCCGTGGCTTGGCAAAATAGAGGCAAAATTTGGCAGTGAGTCCAATGACTCTGGTGACTGTATGTTGAATGTGTTTTTCCTCGGCGACTCGAGGCTATAATATACGCTTCGAGCATACATTTATAGACGAGGACCAAATGAAGTGGGTCAAGCGCACTTCAGCACAATTTGGAATATGCAGCAACCTCTCTATGTTTCAACTCTGACACTCTCCATGCTACAAGTATATATAGTCCTTGGAGCATGGACCTGAGGAATATGCCAACTCTCTGACCGACGCAATTTAGCAGCATCGATTGCTCGGAAAGCACCACTTAGATTGCTTTCGATGAAGTCTCACATGCAACAATTGAACGTGACCAACAAAAGACGTGTGCTCAAGTGAAAAAGCAATTGGCGCACGTCGCTTGGTTCTCCACGAGGTGGGCCGCTGCTGCTGGGCTGCTGGGTGTGTGGTGTGTACCCCCCACCCCATATCTAGATATATATCATGATACATATATATATAATATATATGTACTATATATACATCGGTTTTCAATTGTCTTTAGGTAAAACCATGTCTTTACCGCAACGACAAAGTTTAACCTTGACTTTGGAAGCCTTGGGTATCAATAATATATCACCGCTGAAACACACTGTTTTGGAGGAAATTTTGTTTGAGTTGAGGTGTTAAGATGGACTCAACTGCCTTCGTGGCTGAAACATTTGTACCTAGAAGCACCTGGTGCAACCTTTCTACCTCAGGAGGATTCACGGAAGAAGACGGCAAATCCGCGAATCCGGTTGAACTATTGTCAGGAATTTGTTGGGCACGCAACATTCAACGCAGTCTTCCAAAAGCCAGTCTACCACTGGCCTTCAAAAACGCAAGACATGTCGTGGTGCAAGGACATCGTTTTGCATCTCAAGCTCACCCCCCTATACCGAGGCCGATTTGGACCTGTTTTAGCGGGTCAAAACCTGGAGTCCCAAACACCATCGGTTTCTATAGCTTGACCGTCAGCAAAGCATATGGGTCAACCAAAGCATCTGGGTTTTGACATCCTTATGTTCAAGCCCTGGAAAAGCACTGGTTTTTGAAATAATTACACCTTGGAAGACGATCCCATGGACCCTGAAAACCACTGGTTGGTAGAGGAAAACACTCTTCCAGGGGGCCAGGACGTCAGGGTCTATGTTAGTTGACTCGGGAGTGTACACCTTGTACCAGGGAATTCCCCGGCTGTTTGGGGGAATCTTCGCGCCGTGTCGTTTTCCAACTCTTTGAAGCGGGGTGTTTTCGGCCCTTTTGAGCCTCCCATGTTTCATCCTCCTTCCGAACAGGTCTGAACCATGCCAGGCTGCCAGGCTTTATTTCAGAACCACTCCATCCTGAGCCACACAGGATGGACTCTCACCATCTTCTGCCCGAGATATCCCGACCGCTCCCGTTCCGAGCTCCGGCGGCACGGAACGTGGAGACAAACGAACGATGGTGTTTGCACATGCTCCCCGTTTGGGATCCAAGTAAGTACCTTCTCAGAAGGCACGACTGGACCCTCCTGGCAGCCACCCCAAATCCAAATGGAGATGGCCCGGGTCAAACCTGGTCGGAGGTGAAGCCATCAAACTGATGGTTTCACCACTGATGATGGAGGTGAAATGTCGTGAAAGACCATGTGGTTCACCTGATGGTCGTCCACTATCTGCCGCGAACGACTGGTCCACAGACCAGGTAGGGAATAATCCGGAACCAGTCTCCTGGTGCCACGAGCCACAGCCCAATGAAAGTTCCAGAATTCTCCTGGCCAAGGGCTTTTGGTGCCTTTGGGTCGACCTTGGTCCTTCTCCAGGAGAAGATGTTCACCTTGGTGCAGCACGTGCCAGTGGAAAGCTTCAAGGGCCTTCAGACGGAGAACGTCCGAGACGAATGAGGAGTCCGGAGCATTCGATCGGTTGGTCTCACTCAAAGACTGGTTGGTCTCACTGGCAGGGAGGGGGACGCCACTGGGACATCAGGTGATTGATCTGGACATGAGGTGGTTGCAATATCTTTGTTCTACTGTCGTTTTTTCGGATCTTGGATGCTTGATTGGCATACAGACCAATGTTGAACGATCAACACAATAAGTATCAACGCACCTGTTTTAACATGTTTTAAACCTGCGCAGTTCACTCGCAATTGCATAGTGCAACTAAATGTGTTTGTTATTACTGTATATATTGTATATACACATGTTTTGTATGTTTGCCAAACATGCGGAGCTTTGAAACATAATCCCGAGTACCTATTTTAAAAAGCCTCCCCAAATAGAAAACACAATGTCCGAAACCCTAAATTTGGTTTATATTTGTTTTTAAACTACCGCCCTTTCAAACCGCTACTAAACTACGAACATGGTCGATGTTGGGTGTAGTTTATTTTAATATAGTTCCAAAAGCAACCATGCAATAGAGGATTTTGTAGGGGAAAAGGGAAGACCCTTCCATTTGGAGGTTTTTGAATTTTTGATACGAGTTTAATAACAAATTTTATGCAACAATTTCCTGCGTGACTTTTTGGTTTTGAAGCTCTTTCCAGGTGACCCTATTTTGGACCACCCCGATTTCAGGGACCCCGTAATTAAAATGCGACCGAGGTTTTCTTAATAGGGGGGGGGCGCATGTTCTTTTTTTTAATAGGTGGACAGGATTAGTCAAGATACAGGTCTCAGACCTTCTTGAATCCTCAAGTTGGCTCCGCTTTGAAGTTAATTGGGCTTTGGCCAGAGTAGTGGTTCAAGTCTCACGGAGGTTGTGAATGATTTCAAGTTCGCTTCTACTTGCTGCTTGCCTTTTTGTATTGATTCCCATTAAATTTGTTGTTGGAGACCTACAGGATTCACATGGATTCACCGTGACATGCAATGGGAATTCAAGGGGTTGCCAAAACAGAATTCCAAACATCAGCGGGCTTGGCATGTGGCCGTCGGCAGATGTCGCACCTTCTCGACGTGTTTTCCCGAATGCGTAGCGAAGGGTTCTCGTTGAACTCTGGGTCTGGGGGTAGAGCCTTAACAAGCGACTCGTTGTCCGAGCGTTCGCAACCGTCCGCAGGTGGAGCGCTATGGCGCTGACGTTGGGCGAAGCTTTTGGAGAGGGTTTTGGATGGATTCATGACGCGTCAGATTCGTGTGGAATAGTGAGGAAACGTGTGGAAACGTGAGAGGATTCAAAGAGTGTCCTACAAGAGTGTCCCACAACAGTGTCCCGCAAGAATGCCCGACAAGAGTGTCCCACAAGAGTGACATACAAGAGTGTGCCAGAAGAGTGTTTGGCCAGAGTGTCCCACAAGAATTGTCCGACAAGAGTGTCCTACAAGAGTGCCCCACAAGAGCGTCCTACAAGAGAGTGTCAAAGTTTGGGCGCTTGCTTTTGAGTACGTGCTTGCATTCGGGCTCATGGGCTCCATCTTGTTTTCGATCTGACCTGCAACCTGACATGCTGGGCTTGGGTGGGTTTTTGAAGCCAGTGCGAATTCTTTGAGAGCACAGCGAACTTGTGTCGAATGTGCAAACCTTTCAGAACCCTCTAGACTCTTCCTCTCGCTCAGGAGGATGAAATCTGGACGATCAAGACGGGAGGTAGGCCCCCCCCCCAGAAATTCATACTTGAAGCCCTTCTCCAAGACCATTGCAACTGTCCTTGTTTTGAGGAGCTTTCTGAGGGGGACGAGACCATCACACCGGAGCTGTGCGTTTCTTTCAGAGATGGTCATTGTCCTGACTAAACCGGCCAACCATCGACCCAGAAAGCACCCCAGGATGGGCGAAGCCGAGGAACCAAGTCTTCTTCCCCAGAAGGGGATTCACTCATAGATCTTGTAAGAAACATAAACATCACCCTAAACAAAACCAAAACACCCATGAAACACACTGTATGGGGGCCTTCATGCGAAGAAAACTTAGAGCAGTGCGGAGGACCGTAGGACTTGGATTTCTATGATTTTTTTCTCAACACTCTGCTGCTGGCTGTTCAAGCTTGGCTGATGAGGGCATGCAAAAGTTACATCCGAGGCATTGATAAATGGCAGTCCACGTAATTAGGGACCTGTGCATCGGAAAACCTTGTCCACGTAGGGCCATCCCATGTGAAGGATTTTGGACTCTTCAAGGAAATAAGAGTTTGCCATGAGCATTGGGATACTAAGTAGAGTATAGTATAAGTGCAGTATGTGTTTCTGAAAGATTTGGCTGAAGTCTGAGACCACCTCTTCAAGAAAGACCCCACAATTGACCTACTGACCTACTTCGCCTCTTAAAGAGGGTGGAATGATGGTGATCAACGCAGTGGACCACAACAGACTTAGCTTCCATCCTACTGCGGGCTTAGTAGTGCGTGGAAGACGTGGGTGACGTGCCATGAGCAAAGAAAAGGACGTGGCAGTTGATGAGTCGTGGGGTCCCAGATTGGCGGCTGGTCTGGGATTCCAGGAGTCGTGGAAGTCCAACATGTGTTGCGAGAGTTGCGAGGAGACTTGTTTGTTCGGAGAAGGTTTATCTCCTTTCAGACGGCCGGATGGCAGAGGGATTTTTCATAAATGCGAGGTTAAGCCAAACTGAAGCCCTGGTTTTCCTTTTTCATCCTTTCGCCACCTATCTTTCGAGCCACAGCCATGTGTTGAGGCGGCCTCAAACGAGGAAGAAGGCTACAGTCATCGATTAGTAAAGTAAGTATGCTCTCTGAGTTGTGTGTCTCAAGGAGAGCTGAAGATGTTCGGCTATTTCCACATAGAACAGACATAGAACAGTCGCACAAGGCATCCTCGGAACAGGATGAGATAGCAACACTGGTAGAAACGCGTGATGAGCTCCAACCACCTCCTTTTGCGGGTCGGGTGTTGCTTCACAGTGCTTTTGGAGGGCTAAGACGGCTAAGACTTTTGCGGTACTTGGAACAGTTTTGGAACGCTAGGGTATACCACTATAGTATATACCTAGAACCCATTTGACCTCTGTTTTGATAGGAAGTCTGAGCATATTTTGGGTGGTTCATGGTCCAAAATAGAGGTCAACTCAGGTTCTGGGTATATATAGACAATTATATGGCACCTCGTGACCCCGGGTTTACAGCATGACCCGGTGAGGCTGTGAGATGTTGTGAGGCGAACGAACATCAACAGCTTGAACCCAATGAACAATCCTGTCGACACTCCATGTAATTAAAATGGTATACGGTATTTTTTTGTATATATATATGCCGCCCCAGGTTGAACCCGACTTCTGGCCCAGCCTGACATGCATGGATTCATATGCCAGTCCCAGACAGGTCGTCTTTGGGAAGAATGGACAGATTTAGCCCTGCTTGGCCTCTTGAACCCCCTTTGCTCCGGTTTTGGACATGGCCTTCGGAGGCTCCCTGTGGGCCTGCTCGCGTCCTTGATGCAAGTCCAGGCAACATAACGTGACGTTTCCATCACGTAGGAGTCCTAGGAGCTGCACCAATGCTTAGGGTGATTTATTACATATTTTACCCGCCCGATTGGATGCATGAATCCCTAAGCCGGCGGTTTTCACGCTTCCTCAAGCAAACCCAAGAGGAGCTGCACCATCAAAACCCTGTGCGGCCTTTGTGTTCTTGATTTTGGCTCATGAAGTCAGCAGAAGACGATTTCCGGGTGACTCAGTCTTACTGAGTCTCACTCTTCGTGCTTGGTTTTGCTAGAGTCGGGCCAAATCGGTATACATTGCGTATTACGCGATTTGGACATTTTTAATGTGTGTTACAGATGATTTTACATATGAGCTCATATGATCTATAATACATATTTTATGCATCCCCATAGCAACCATATAGGCTTCCCTGCGTGTTTGATTCCTCTAGTTCCTTCTTCAGCCCGGTCAGACGCGACACTGCGGTGACCTCGGCGACTCCGCGGTGCGACTGTTCTGTAGTAGGGCCAGACATCCCTAGGCTCCAGTCGTACCTCCTCAGGTTTGGTATGGCTGGACCCGACGGGTCGGCACCCGGGCCCCGGTCGTCTAAACGAAGGTACGACAGGAGCCCTACGGCATATGCATGAACATGCTATCATTGCTAATCACCACACTTTAGTACGGAGCATGTCGAAGCACAAGAACCAGTTAAAACAGTGATACTCCAGTTAAAGCAGTGATACTCTCTCCAAACAAAACAGTTGGAAGTCTAGGAACATAAGTTATATAGATCGACGGTCATAGTCGCACTTTCGTCAACAAACGATGCCAAATTGAAATGTGAATAGTAACGACTGTGAACAAACAGGTAGTACAACCCCAGAGTCGCACTTTAACCAACAAAGATTTGGTATGTCCATCGGCCTGGTATGTCCGTAAAGACCTCCATTCGGACCCAGCCCTTCGCTGCTCAAGCCGCTGCTCGACGCACAGAGCTGCCGCAGCTACACTGCGGTGGACATTTTGACATATGAGGTGGCCCCCTTCCCCACGTGAGCTTGCACATCCTTGCAGCAAATGTACTTGTTTGAGATGGATACAGATACAGTATGATACAGTGATGCTTCATGCCGCGTGACGCTACGCTACGCGTGGGGGAGCGATTCAAGTGGTCGCGGCGCCGCGCGATTCGAGGGCATCATGAGATCGCGCTCCGAAAAAGATCCAAGGAGTGTGAAGATCCTGGACAAATACCCAGACACTCCATGTGTGCCATATACGCCTACATTGGGGTGGTTTCAGGGGTCAATGTAGGCATATATGGCATACACGGAGTGTCTGGGTAGGAAGAATCATGCAATCATGTGGATGGCGGTCAGGCCCCGATTTCGACAGATCTTTCAAGTTTGATCACCCACCGGGTCTTCGACAAAGTTTAACTTTGATGTTAGTAACAACATCGTTAAACCTTGTTGTTAGCACATTCAGGAATCATCATATATTTTTGTTCAGGCAACTCAGGCGCAACTTCATGCCTGATCATGACATTTGACGATCCCAATCCCACTAGCCATTGGGTTCAATGCGCGCTGGGGCCAAAGCGTTCAGGAAAAGCTGGAATCTTAGCACGTGTCTAATCACAGTTGTTCTTCTCCCTAATCTGGCTTGCGTTAAGGATGGGCCAATGAGAATGGTCCAGGTGCCCAGCCTTCTGCACCCTTTTCAATTTAGTGATCTAGTCGTCACAGTTCTTGGCAGTTGCAACCAGTTGGAGCTTTTTGCACAGGATTGTTCAATGATTTGTTGGCCCAAAGGTGCGGGGCAATGCACCAAGGTGAAGCAGCATGAACATTTAATGCAAAATGAGGTTCAAGTGCTTCAAGGATTTTCTACGTGTGCTAGCTGGGTTTGTGTTTGCTGTAGCTTCCACGCGATGCCCGATAGCAAGCCCAAGCCTGAGCAAGTGGAGCTGCTGAAGGCCGGCAGCAAGTTGAACGAGAAAAATGGGTCTCCTGCAATAACTTTGGTTGGTCAGGAGTTCTATGAGGTCAAGCTGACCACTGACTTCATCAATGAGCGCTTGCAGATTTTGGAAAGAAACCGGAAAAGCAAGAAGGCACATTTCTGGATATAATTGTGGGATTCTTAGTTGTCTTAATTTTTCCTGTAGGCTCCCCTCCACTTCTCCTTCCTTGACATCAACGACAATTTCATTGATGAAGCCCAGGCCACTCTTAAAGGTAATGTATTTATATTACAATTAGCTAGCTGGTAGTTGAACCAGTCGTCATGATTCAGCAATCTTTAACTCCCTATGCACATGCGCAGGTTGTGGCCAACTTTGACTTCGTGCTAACCTGGGTTTCTGTCTCCGAATTTGCCTTTGCCCCACCCACGAAGAAGGAAGTCCAGGCAGGTTGCTTTCAAGAATCTAGTACTAGGTGCATGCAGTCTGTTCAAACCTGATCAACTCAGTTGGAATGAATATTGAGAACAAAGTTTTGGTTCCATTTTGGTGAGGCTGCACTTCGTTGGGCATGTACACGATTTCGTTTGTGCACATTCAAGAGCAAATCTGATGAGGAGGAGACCGTGTTTCTCACTGTCGATGTCATACTCTCCTACTTGCATCTCACAACCTGGAAAATCAAACAAGTGGTTGCAGGAGTGGCTGGAGACGGAGGCTGACCTTCACCGTGGATGTGCCGCGTACGTGGCTGAGAGGGCCAAACGCAATCCATCAGCCAGGCCAGGCTACTGGTCCATGATGTTCAGCATGACCCCCACTGTATCCACCAAAACTTGCCAGGATACCAGGTGTATGTTCTTCTCTCTAAGTCTCCCTAATGTGCTCACAGTAATATCTCTTGGATATTTTTGGCAAGTGCTTCATGACAGTATATATATATATATCCTTGCCTTGCCAGGCCTGGACATCATGAGATGAACGTGTTGAAGAATACCTACCGCATGGCCTTGAAGGAGAGGGTCAATTATGTTCAGGTGTACCTGCACATAGGGTTTGCCACTGGCAGGAGTATTTTGACGAGCGCCCCAGTGAGGCCATGTCTGAAAGAGCCAGGTACCAAGAGTCTGTCGAGCAGATTCGAGTACTTGCTGATTGCTAGATCGATGTGTTAACAGTCGATGGCATATTACATACAATTTGAATGAACCTTTAATTTAAAGCTTACTGCAACATACACCTGTTCCTCACAGCCCTTCCACCGCACCGTGTGCCCAGGCCAAGTCCCTGACCAATTTGGCGGCTGTGGAGGAGCCTGAGGCTGAGGTATCGGGAGCAGATCACGAAGCAGGTAATGAGGAGGCAGGTGGTGGTGCAAGTGGTGATGAGCAAGTGGATGTTTGGGTTGAAACGCATGGGATGACCCAAGAGCGTACACCACTCTTTTGCACCACTGAAAAACCAAAGCCGCCCCAGCGACATTGGCACATCAAGCAGTCTAGCTTTGCTACTCCTGATCAGAAAGTTGTCAAAGAAGACCCTGTTCGTCGTGAACTCTTCAAAGAGGGAGAGGAGGAGGAGCCTAAGGAAGTGGACCAGGAGGTTGGCAATTCCCCAGAACATGAAGAGGAGGTTGAAATAAAAAAGGAAACGAAGGGAACCTTTAAGGACTGCAACATGTACAGTACATTGTTTATTTGAACTTGCATGAACTAGATTTAACCAACCTATATCTGCACTTGGACCAGCTAGATCCCCTTGGATTAATTGTCACCCGAGCTCGATCCAGGATACAAAACCCTTGTCGGTGCCTGAGTCTCTTCCTGTTGCAGCAGCTGAAGCCACTAAGCGTCTGGCGTCCAATGAGAACTCTTGGGGATCAGCAGAGCTTCAGAAGGCCTGGCGCATGGAGTGAACTTAAACATTAATGAATGAAACATATATATATGCATATACCAAAAAAAACATAACTACAACCGATCGCGACTGGTCTAGGCCCAAAAGGGTCTACGCAAAGCAGCCAGGGCAAATGCTGCTGATCCGGGTCAGGGTGGTCATGATGATGACCCTGACAATAGAGGGGAAGAATCTAGTGAGGCACCAGCTATACAGAAAAAACCTGCAGGACGAGGTAGGGGTCGTGGGCGAGGCCGGGGCAGGGGCAAAGCTCAAACAGGAAGCAAGCAGAAAACATCCAGTGCTCAAGCTAGTGAACGAAAACGACAGCGGGCAAAACCTGAGAAAGAAGAAGAGGAACATGAGGAGGCCTATGAGAGCAATGAGGAAGGTCGACGTGTAAAGAAGAAACCAGCAAAGAGTAAGGGAAACGAGGAAGATCAGCAAAAGCTTAGCAATCAGGACTGCGTGCAAGTCAGATTTCCCTCATCTGCACTGGTACGTACACAATATATATTGTCACTTGCAGGACCGGAGCCTACTGACGGAGTTGAAGACTATTGCAGATTCTGATGACAAATTTTTTGTTCCAGATCAAATCGGATCCGGTGAGAAAAAGTAACACCTAAGTTCTGATCTATGGCCAAACTCACATTCTTCCCATGAACTATAGTTTAATTGCGTCCCTCGTGCGCGTGCAAGGTCATGGATCATCCAGCCACCTGATCATGAAGACAGCAAGGCCTCAAGGATTGGAGTGGTGCTGGGGTCTAAGGAATATCTTCAACAAAATTGTGCTTCCCCAAAAGTATATATGCACATTAAAAAAGCGCGATCAAGGTTCTATGCCAGAAGCTTCTACATTTACCAGCCTGACAAAATGGCGATCCGGAAGTACAACAAGGAACATGACACTACATTCTTGGCCTGTTCCTCAAATATTTGTACTGATCGCCAGAATGTGACTGAAGTATGTGCCTAGAGTCTAGCCAGTACGTTGATCAGGTGAACCGACACGGTGAGGGTGGGACGACCTTGGGGTGGTCAAAGGTCTCGTCAGTTTCTATGGCGCTTGACACCCAGCTGTGAAGCGAAGCAGGATTTCCCATAGCTTATAAATGTTGTACCGGCATCAGGTGGCAAGCAGCGAAGCTCTTTGCGGGCTGGAGCAAATAGTCCTTTGAGTTTTGGAGCCTAGCTAGCAGTCTGGGCTTATTCCAAGCTTCTCCTTTAGGCTTTGGCGCAACATGTATATATATATATATCACAGTCGTAACTGAATGTATTTGATCATGGTCCAGCTTTGATATGTTGCTTATATGTATGAGTCTAGAACTGCGCCAAATGGGAGGGTTTTAGAGGCTCGAGGTGATGAACTCGCTGCCAATCATGCAGAAAATTGGAGTTTCCTGCTGATCGATCACTTTTGTGAAGGGCCATTGATCCAATAATATTTTGGAGTTAGTTTGGAGTTATATACATAGATATAGATTAACGATTGCCCTGCAGCTGTTTTTGGAGGATATCGCTAGCTATATTTGCATTGAGGGATGGGAAAGGCAGGATGGCAGTATTCCGGCATGAGCTTGACCCAATCGGTCACCCGAGCCTTGCTGAAAGTTGGATTCCCGATGATTATGCCAGCACCTCAGCCGTGGCTGTCAAAACTAGTGCGTAGGTCATGTACATGGGTGGGACAACTAAATGAACACGGTTCTAGTTGATCACTAGGTGCCTGTACACGTAGGATACACCTGTGCGACTACTGTGCTCAACAGAATCCACATTTTCATCGAGCGATGCCCTCATAGTGCTGGTCTGTTATGTGCTAATATATATATATATATATCATTCATTTTGAGGCAGCATGGCAACAGCAACACCAGCTCACACAATTCAGGACCTGACCAACTACGACATGTTCTCAGGGGAAGGAGCCATATGGAAAAACTTTGAAGGCCTCAGCGTTCTTATTTATATATATACACCTGAAACAGAATCGAGTTAAATATTAGCCTTATAAATCCGGGAGTTGGTTTTGATTGCCCAGGCATGAATGAGAAAACGTTTGAGCCTCAAAGCGTCCTAGAACTTCAATCTTGTAGTTTGATTCTTTTGAGTACTGCGAAGGGCGCACATGGAGATTTTAGAATCACCAAGCCAAGACCTCACAACTGTGCCACAGCCTCATACACACCGGACCCATTCCCATGTATTATAATTATAATGTTGCATGATTGATATCCTTGAGGCAGGGCCTGGTGACCGCCACAACCCAAGTCCTGCGCTTGAAGCCCGGTAGTCTGCTGACTGCCGGGCTTCCCTGCCACTCTTTCATCTTCCTGAACAGCGCGACCCACCAGAGAAGCCAAAAACGACCATTTGGTGACCAAAAGAAACCATATATCGCTGTAGCGAATTTGTTCCTTGTCAAATTTGAGATCTTTACCTAGTTCAACATATTATTTAACAACAGTTTGCAACTAAAGCATACACCACTGATTTTAACCTGAGGCTTGGGGCTCGCCTCATCCTACTTTGCTTACTGGCCACGATGAGGGCAGCCTTCTTTATGATTGAACAACCGAGTTCAAGCCAATTCATCCACTTTCCTTATCTCAGATACCTGATGTTTGTTCTACGAGAACATGTGCCAGTATCCACAGTGAGGTTGTCACTAGTCATCATTTAGATTCGATTGCAAAGAAAGTTTCTCGTGCTCTTTTTGCAGCTTGGAATATAATAGAGCCCTCTGCAGTCTCAAACATATAACAGCTAAGTTGGATGGGTCTCTTTGGCGGCTTTTCTCCAAAGCTCACTTTGGGAATCGGCACCGTGTCCTCTGCTCAGTCAAAGGTACTTTGTTGTGCCACTACGCAGTACAAGTACTAGTACTTGTAAACGCTTCAGCTCACTCTTTTATTTATATATAGCTAGTTGGTGAGGAAATGGCTTGGAAGGCTTTACCGGCCTTTGACTCACCAGTTGAAGAAGAAATTGAAGCTGAGCTCGAAGGGTGTGGTTGTGAAAACCAAGCTGAAGAGCGGGAAGATCAGTGTGTGATCAGCTTAGCATTTTCATATAGATGCAATATTA